TGAGATCCTTGGCAGCAGAGAGTAATCCGGCAAATACTGCGCTGACCGGCTGTGCATCAGCCCAGCATTGGCAAACCCGAATATGCAATGTGCTAGGACAAAGCTATGCAACAGTACGAGAAACCTTTCTCACGAAACAGACGACCAAGTCATACCTCTGCAGTGCGTCACGCAGTTTCTACGTCTTTGTCCGAGAGAAACTTGCCGTGCCAATGCACCGAGGTATCGCCGACCACCCGACGTATAATTCGACGGAGCGTCGCAAGAAGGAATGTATTGGAACGCAGATTAGCAAGGTGTACACAGCTCTACGAAAGGGTGAATTCCAAGATGCTCTGCTCAGCAGTTGGTGAGATCGTCGTTGATATCTTCAGGGGCGGTTAGATGGAAATTATCCCAACAATAAACTTTAGGTGAACTAGGAAATCTTGGAATGTTCTATTCACGCTAGAACCACACGATATGGGGAGCCTAGTCTTTATTGCTGCTATTTAATGATTAATCACTTCAAGTTCCACTGGGCCTGCCTTGATTATTATTAGTCCCGGTTTACCCATCTTCCGTTCTAACTAGTCCGGCCCACGTCGGGAATATTCTGTGGCGCTAAATCAAACGATTGTGTCTGCAATGCCTTCCTGTGGTAGGCAGCTAATGGACTATTGGCTTCTAGCTGCTTTCTCAGCCCTTAGCTACGATGCTATGGCATGATTCCTGTTGTAGCCTACGGAGTACTCGACCTTCACACTAAAAATAACGTATATCCACGATGGCTTCAATAGTCTACGGGGTAGTTGTAGTCCCTCTCGTATTCATTGTGTGTTCTGGATGTTGTCTCGGACTCTGGTAGGCCGGAGATACCATTTCATGTTATACCTCGGTTTACCAGGATCTATTCTTACTCCAGACTATTGATATTTACATGGATAAGGACAAATACAACTATTCCCCTTAATTAAAAAGCACTTTTCATAGCTTATTAGTTACCGTGCGCTCGGGGACCCAACTCCAAGCTCTCTCAGCACTGCCTACCATGTAAATAATATCCGGCTTAACTAAGATGTATATTAACCGGAACATTGCCACACGGTCAAAGACAGGTCTAGATGCTGACCGAAGCATCACAAGCCAGGTAAAAGTATTAACCTGGCTATTAGTGCCGCTGTGCTCATTTCACACGGCCAGGGACCCTGGCAAAGAGATAACTCGCCCTAGGGTGCCGTAACTTCGGTAGAACAGAAAGGGTACCTCGTAAACCCTGACTCCATGTGGCATCTGGACTATGATTTGAAACCAGATGGATCACAGATTCGTAGTACTAGGTCAAGAAGGGACTGCCAGACACCTATTTGGCCACGGGGTAGACCAAGGCCGAATGCTCCGTATATTCTGTAGCCTATCTACGTGCCGCTGATTGGTGGGCTAAATGCACCGGACAATTGCTTGATATTATCCGGCCCTCCGTATGAGACTACGAGTAGTACTTTGAAACGCAATCTAAGAGTGGCGTCGGAGCAACTCTCTTTTAGGGAATGGCCGATGCGCCGCCGAAGTGGAGAAATAAAATGGACCCTGATATCGGTCGGAACGGATCCGAAGTAGTTGGACCGCCTGCGAATTCCCAGGCTTCCGATGATAATCTATGAAGCGCAGCACAATTATGGTTCCTGGCGGCTAATGCGCACATCACTCTCCTTCGTGTCCACTCTGTTTTACCATCCCGTCTCTGCGCCTCTGTTCCTGCATAAACCTGTCACAGGAGGCGCATTCTCCCTGCCGATCTTTGGCGCCGCTATCTTCGGAGTTTTCCTACCGGTAGTTGCGTGAAGCGTCAAATGTCATAGCCTTCTACCAGCCAGTGTTGGTTTTCATGATCCTCGACTCTTTCTTGTACACACTACAGCGGGGTCTATCGAAGGGCCAGGAGGGTTGGTCCAAAAGGAGCTATAACCGGCACTCGGGATATTAGTTCATTAAGCTACGAAAGCGAACCATAGGAACCACCAATATCAAATGAAACAATTCAATATAGAAAACCTCTGCCAAGGCCACCGCTGCAGCACTATAAGCAAGAAACCCAATCGGACTCGTTAGCAGGTGAGGTGGTCGGTGCTTTTCCACTGCCCATGATTCGTGCCAGGAACTTGAATCAGGTTAGGGCATCTCACGGTCCCTAGCGGAGTTGATCCCACCAACTGTAATTCAGGCCACAGGCCAATAAGCCATGATTGCCAAGTCGGATAAATCAAGTAGAGCCCTAAGCTAGTGAAGATATGAAATTTAGCTGAAACGTCTCATTCTTGGCATCAGCGGTTGACGCTTCTTGGCAGGGCTTCGCTCATCTCATGCTGCCCCATCCCGAACCGATTAATCTACCACAACCATGAAGAGAGCTTGAAGCTGTTGTCGATGTGTATAAAAGGGCCCTCCGCCGGACCCTCGATAGGTCTCTTTTCATTCCTCAAGCCTGGATAGCTAAACATTCCTTTCTGCTTTTGTTTTCCTACTTTCATTCACTTTTTACACTCTTTTTACCGTCCTAGTCGACGTTTTACACTCTTTATATCAAAATGAAGCCTTCTACCTATGGTATGCTCGCTCTGGCAGCGGCTGCTAAGCTCGCCAGCGCTCACGCCACCGTCCACGCTGTCTGGATCAACGATGTCGACCAGGGTGAAGGTAACAGCGAGAGCGGCTACATCCGTTCTCCCCCCAGCAACAGCCCTATCACCGATGTCACCTCCAAGGACATGACCTGCAATGTTAACAACAAGCTACCGCCAAGACCCTGGAGGTCAAGGCCGGTGACAAGGTCACCTTCGAGTGGCACCACGACTCCCGTAGCGACTCTGACGATATCATCGCCTCCTCCCACCTTGGCCCCGTCATGACTTACATGGCCCCTACCGAGAAGGGCACTGCTGGCAATGGCTGGGTCAAGATTGCCGAAGATGGCTACACCGATGGCACCTGGGCCGTCGAGACCCTGATCAAGAACCGCGGCAAGCACACCATCACCGTTCCCGACGTTGCTGCCGGCGAGTACCTCTTCCGCCCTGAGATCATCGCTCTCCACGAGGGTAACCGCGAGGGCGGTGCCCAGTTCTACATGGAGTGTGTCCAGGTCAAGGTCACCTCTTCCGGCTCCAAGACTCTCCCCGAGGGTGTCTCCATCCCCGGCGCCTACACTGCCACCGACAAGGGTGTCCTCTTCGACATCTACAGCTCCTTCGACAGCTACCCCATCCCCGGCCCTGCCGTCTGGGATGGCGCTTCTGGTTCGTCTTCTTCTTCATCAGAATCCGCCTCTGCATCTGCTCCTGCATCTACCAGTGCTGCTCCTGCTCCCTCTGGATTCACTACCATCGCCAAACAGCCAGCCACCACTTCCACTCAGGCCCCTTCCACTGAGAACACTCCCACTGAGACCTCTACCACCTCCGCCATTGTCTCCACCACTGCTCCCGCTACTCCTTCCACCACCTCCGCCATTCCATCCTCTGCTTCGCCCACTAACTCTGTTCCTCAGCCTAGTTCCGGCGCCGGTGGCTCTGTCAAGGAGTGGTACCAGTGCGGTGGCATCAACTACACCGGTAGCAAGCAGTGCGAGTCTGGTCTCACTTGCAAGGTCTGGAACCCTTACTACAGCCAGTGCCTTTCTTCTCAGCACCTTTAAGTGAGGATCTGATTTTAGGAGGGGGGTTGTTTTTTAGTCAGAATAGAAAATAGACGGTTGGTGTCCGCGTTGTCTAGAAATTTGGTGTTTTGTAAATTATATAGTAGACCGTATCTTTTTCTTTTTACGCCGTCCCTCTCCGGTTAAGGGTTAAACTTGTAACTGAGAGTTAGTGACTTTGATATTCAGGTCGATCTGTTGTTTTTTCTTGTCGGGGGTATCTACTTTAGTCTCGAGCTGCTCCCAGTATACATAATTTGTAGCCCAACAGTGAAAATGACCCAATGTTCCTCATGTTCTATACTTTTTCTTGACTACGTTGTGCTGTGATATAGACACTTCTTCACAACATGAGTAAATCCGAAGCCACTGTGTCTTTATCTTTTTCAATTTTGTTGGACAATTGCAGTATCAGAATTGTATAATAAATACTCCCCATAGAATATATATTTAAGTATACAACAGTCAAGCATAGGACTCCACCATTGAATATATATATTTCCACCATCACCCGCACCAAGATCCCAGACCAAATCCCAAAAATGCATAGCAAAACACCACACATCCTCATCACCATAAAATCACTCCAATATATCTTCCACCATACAATTCCACCAAGACCAATCCCATCGGCCACGAAAAAGCAAAAATCACTGATCCAAGCAACTAACGCAGTTAGCATTTCCCTGCCTATTCCGCTTTGGGACCCTCGTTCGCACTATATCGGAAAAACTGTGGGTCGGGCCCACCACCGTGAAACTGCCTGATTACTGATCATCGGCTGCATTTGGGGTATTTCGTTGGATAAATCTCGGGAGATTGAATGTGCTTGGCTTTTAGATGCGAATGGGATTTTTGTAGGGTTTGGATTGACGTGGGTTGTCTGGGGGGGAAAGTAGGGCTAAATCGTGATATCTGTATGGCTTATTTAACAAGTCGATGGCAACCTTACGCCCTTGGCAATACAGTGTGTCAATGATGATGATCTGGACTAGGCATACGATAGATTGAGGTAAAGGCGACATGATTGACTTGTGTTGCAGCATCGCGCAATGCACTTATACCCATATAATTTAGGCAGTGAACCTCACCGCCAGAGTGAACTATGTTCCGGACAGTAGATTGTACAAGCCATGCAGCGTACGGGCCCTCTTGGAGTGAATTAATAAGTTACCTACACCGGGATGTATTGGTCACAAGAAAGACATCAAAAGTGAAGATCAGATCAAACCCGAAAAGCACAGCAGGGAAACCTACAAATGCCTCAGCCACTAGACTCTATTCCTGATGGGCCGCGGCCGTGAAGCTTGGCCTCTCTAGACCCCACATGGTGATGATCGTCGGTGAGATGGCTGGAGGTGCCAACATCGCATGGTACGATCAGCCAGTCGGAGAATATCATGCGCGCATTATATCAACAACCCCGCCTGGACGTGTCTAACCTGACGCTAACAGCTTCAGATCCCTTGCAAACCATCGCACCATGGGTCGCGTCGACGAGTTTGCGGTGCATGCGTTTGATTATCTGATCGTCGGCGGAGGCACAGCAGGCTTGGTGCTAGCGGCACGCCTGAGCGAACGCCCTGACATCGTGGTCGGAGTAATCGAAGCCGGTCCTGCGGCTTTGGATGAGAAAGCAATTAACATTCCAGGTCTTTACGGCTCGACGATCGGGTCTAAGTATGATTGGCAATTTGAAACGGTGTCTCAGCCAGGACTATCAGGTCGGAAACTACCTTGGCCTCGGGGCAAAGTACTCGGCGGCACCAGTGCCCTGAATTTCATGGCATGGAATCGTGGGAACAGAGAGGACTACGATGCTTGGAAGGAGTTGGGAAACCACGGATGGGGTTGGGATGATCTTTTGTATGTGTACCGATCGCTGTGGTTTGGATTCATGTCGACTAACAACTAAGAAGACCATACTTCCAACGCTCCGAGACTTTCCATCCTCCCGATACCACACATCAAAAGCAGCACCATTCCTACTACCAGGAAGAAACACATGGGTCTGCTGGACTCCTTCATACAACTCATATCCAAAACTATGGTCCAGCGCACCGGTTTTGGCACGCGACGCTCAATGCGGTCGGGGTGAATACTAGTCCAGACAGCCTTGCCGGGTCAAATAGAGGAGCTTGGAATATGATCTGCACCGTAGATCCCATCAACCAAACTAGGAGTTACTCGGCGAACGCTACTATCAGCCTATCGCAGCACGACCGAACTTAGTGCTACTTACGGAAGCAATGGTGACAAAGGTACTAATCGAGAAGGATGGTGACGGTGACCGGTGGATTGCGAGTGGAGTCAACATCCTCTGCGATAATGAGGAAAGGGAAGTCTACGCAGCAAGAGAGGTTATCCTCTCGGCGGGAAGTGTTCAGTCTCCACAGCTTCTCGAGCTATCTGGAGTTGGCAAGGCCGAGGTCCTGCGATCTGCTGGAATTCCTGTCAAGGTTGAGAATCCGAATGTGGGAGAGAACCTCCAGGAGCATATGAGTAGATATTGATCCTTCGACACACAAAACAACGTTCATTAACGGATGATACAGTGACAGCCACAATCTTTGAAATTCCGCCTGAGATACCCACCGTGATGACCTGCTGCAGGACTCAGCGCTTCGGGAGGCAGCGAGTCGAGAGTATGAAGACACGAAATCCGGGCCGTGGACAATCCTTCCGTGTTCGATCGCATATTGTTCATTGTCACAGATCATCGGTCAAGAGGACCTGGAAGGTCTCCGATCGAGAGCAGAGTCATTGGCCACAGAAACAGGCAAAAAACGAGACGAGATCCTAGCTCGCCAATTCCAGGAGCATGCTAACTTGGGTCAGCTTGAGTATCTGTTCGATGTTGGGAACTGGAGTCCATACTTTACATCCGAAGAAGGCAAGAAATATGGTACGATGCTTATGATGTTGCAATATCCCTGGTCTCGCGGGTCAATCCACCTGCCACCGAAGGACCCTGGCCTCCATGCGACTATCTATGACAAGCCAATTATCGATCCACGATACTACCTTGGTCATGGGGAGCTCGACCTGGAGGTAATGAAGATCGGCCAGCGTTTGACGGAGCGAATCTGCGCAACGAAGCCACTTTTAGACATGATTTGCTCCCGGGTATTTCCTCCGATGCCTAGCTCCGACGCACCAGTTGAAATAGACGAATACGACGAGTTTGTCCGGAACTATACCATCACTGACTGGCACCGTAAGTTTCCTTTTCATTATCTTGCTACTGTGGTGGGCTAACATAACGATCAGCGATCGGAACCTGCGCGATGGGAGGCTTCGAAGGCGAGAAGTCCGGCGTAGTCGATTGCCGTCTGAGAGTTTACGGTATAGCTAACCTGCGTGTTGTCGATGCCAGTGTCATGCCTCTTCAAGTCAGCGCGCATATACAGGCGACGGTGTATGCCATTGCAGAGAAAGCTGCCGAGATGATTGTCGAGGATATGGATGCAAAGGTAGCCCATAACTCTGCATAGATCGTCTTTGTCCGGCTGCCCCGGGAGTCCTCAAGATGATTAATTATTACTTCTATTAATTCAATTAACAATATTAGAAAGGTATAGTTAACTATCTTCACTAAGCTATTATCCAAGCCGCTGGTCGATATTAAGATAGCATTCTATTATGATAAAGACTTGTTTACCCATGAAGATTACTATCTACCATCTATATATGCTATGCACTCGCCATTTACATGGGGATGACAAGTGTTCTATGTCAAAAATTCAGAAGCTCGAGGGTTCATTTAAGTGCACATGGTAAAGAATCTGTCCCAGCATGAAGCCGCCTATGTCTTCCTGCGTTTCCATTTTATACCTGCATGGACCTTACTTTCCCTAATGAATCTCGGCTAATTTCAGCTACTCTTTATTCACAATTTCCTAAACTGCGCGAGAGCTTATAAGGCATGCATACACTATATCAACTTTGCGGTGCAAGCTTCCACACTATCGATGTTTACCTTATAGGCCAATCGTCTCGTCCCAATGGGGCTAAATAAACTGATATAGGACTACTGAGGAGATAGCAGGACATAACCTGAAAAGCTGCTCATTCCTTCATGAGGCCTTTCTCTCACGTATTATAACAAGGACAATATACGCGAGCTAGAAGCCCTGGTGCATGTGGACCTGTGTTCAGCAGTTAGCATCTCAGCCCTGATGATGAAGATGGAGGCCAATATGAAGAGTTAAAGTGTGAATTTGAAAGCTGGGCGAGTTGGAGACTTGGAAGCTCAGAAGAAAGTTGAGTTTCGTCGGCTCAAGTTCGTGAAAGTGGAACCGCCATTAGTAAAATATCGATACATTTGCCTAATGGCTCTCTGTGACTCATGCCCTTGGATGTAACATAAATCTATTCCCGGTCGCACCCAAAATTCTGGCCATATATCGCGTTCCGCTCTCCGACCACAGTCCATCTCTAAAATGAGCATTTTCGAGCAAAAAACTGCACCTTCCAGACGACAAACACATCTAACACATCTCAGTCCTTGAAAACAATCAATGAGAATGACGAGCGAAACGCAAATCCGCATCCGACCTGAGACGGACTCCGACGTGTCAGCAATCGACGAAGTCATTTCAACCGCATTCCTGAATGCCGAGCATACAGACCACACCGAGCAATTCATCGTTCGCGGCCTCCGCGAAGCGAACCAACTATCAATCTCTTTGGTCGCAGAAGACGAAGTCACACATAAAATTGTGGGGCATGTCGCTGTCTCACCGGTGAAAATCTCAGATGGCAGCGAGAATTGGTACGGGCTAGCGCCAGTCGCCGTATCACCCGAGTGTCAAGGAAAAGGCATAGGCTCGATGTTAATCAAACGTGTGATGGCGGATCTTCAGGTGCGCGATGCGGCTGGGTGTGTTGTATTGGGAAACCCCAAATATTATACGCGCTTTGGTTTCAAGGTGGAACCTTCTCTGCAACTGCCAGGTGTGCCGCCGGAGTACTTTATGGCTCTCACTTGGCGTATGCCAACACCGACTGGGACTGTGTCATATCATCAAGCTTTTGATGTGTCGGTATAACTGTATCGATGTATACCTCGCGGTCCTAATAGACCTATTGTCCTTCTTTTTTTTCAAAGCCATCCTGGTTTCTGGATCAGAGATTGCACGCTATTACTTTCGCGAAGAGCTATGGTGGCACGAATGTCATAGAGAGATAGGACAAGCACCAGCTACTTGAAGTCATAGTCTGGCAACTGACCAAGCGGCTGGCTAAGTCTTTATATACTTACCATTCCACTTTGATCACAAACCCGATAATGATAGACATGGAACCATTGGTGTATTTGCCCACAGGATACGCTGATACCAAGTTTATACTCCTGGAGATAGCTAAACGATATGCTGCGAGAGGTGGAGTCCACTTTAATAGTTGATATGGAAATTAGAAGATGCAGGACATTAGGAGACGAGGGATATCGATGATGACAACATGTTAAAGGTGCTGCGACTTCATCGATTCTATAATAATGTGAGCCTAAAGATTAGCTACGCTATAGGCTTACAATTATCATCGGGTGGTATCAATTTCCTAGATTGGTTTTGTTCCTGATACCTTTCCACGAAATACCTGTAATATTCTCACCAATCTCTCATCACGACATATAGAAGTTATTCTAGTATGGCATCGAAGTTGTCACTCGGCTCACTCTGATACGCGACCTTGCATCCGGTCAATTCACTGCAAGTTCTCAAGTGACTTGAACTCCCACTTGCTTTGCGATGAAGGGCAACTGCTTGGCGGATGATGCTGCGAACCTGTTTGATAATTTGCTGCTGGTCATGCAACCAGTACAGTGATAAATGGGAGACCTGAAAACATGAACGTGAGCCTTATACAAAGCATGGGGCTCACGTACCCGGCCCTTTTTGTTGATGTGTATGAAGTTCCATTCGCAACTATCGGTACAGATACCATAGATCTCAGTTTTACGCCCGGCAAGTCTGTGGGCACGGTGGATCATGACTGTTTTTATAGAACATTCAGTCATCTTTCTTGCCCCAGGAGATGTATCCAGAAAGGCAGGGACTTACCCATGGGCGCAAGCGTTGAGTAATCTCCAGTATCCAAGGGACTTTCCTTGCGAACAACAAGTAGGTTGGTGTCTAGTTCATCGCGGTCACCGTACCATAGGATGTTGTCGGCATTACACTCCAGAGTATAGCGTTTTCCCTTGATGGTATGTGGCATAGAAACTTTCGGCAGAAAGGCTAGATACAGACTGTCTTCGGCGTCCGGTGCAGTGTGTTCGCGAGCGTTGGTTTCTTCCTTCTTTGCAGTGGCTAGAATCGACAGCAGAACAGCGTCAATGCGGCAACGCATAGCAACAGTATTCGGGGATGCGATGTTTAGCGCCAGGGCGTAGTCATCTAGGAGTTGCTCTGGGCAGAGTTAGTATGTCTTCGCCCAGTGTCAGGCACAGATACCGACCTGCGCTGTTTGGCATATCCCCACTCTCATCGAGGGCCAAGCTCCACTGTTTCTTAGATTCTCGTCGGCTCGTGGGGCGTAATGCTACACTATTCAAATAATGGTCAATGACTTTGCTTCGGTTAACCTCCCCTTCATTTATATCGACATTGTGGTCCGCCTCAGGATGGAAGTGACAGTTCGTCCAGTGCAGCAATTGACGGTAGATCTGCGCCATGGGTGGCTGTAAAGCAAGATGAGGGACGATAGTTCGTAACAGAAGAAGGATTGTTGTTGACATCTAAGGCCGCTTCATGATTAGGTAACACACTATCTCATCGTTAGTTAATTCACGATACAATTGGAGAGCCAGTTTCTTAAGGACCCAATTCACAGAGTAACATATCTGTCAATGTGCCAGTGAATCTTGGTGAATCTTCATGACACCAGTACAGTTTTATGGTCACCTCTTGCACATCCGAATCAAGCCATTAAAATTCTACGAACCTGATAGAGCCTATCTACTCCATCGCATCTTCAAATCTGCTGCTACAATATGCTATAACCTCGTCCCAGCTCGTTCATTGTAACAAGGGGGGGGGGGTTGTCTCCGACTGTATCAGGGTCGGAAAAGGCAGCTCCGAGGGCCTCAGAGAATTGAGAGAAAGAGATCGGACTGACTCTACACAATTGTTTAAGCCCTGTTATAGTTCCTGAAACTCTGCCCGAATGGAATTTGATGACCAGACAACTGGGATTCGCAAGTACCGAGATGTCAGTAAAAGAGTCAGCACAGCCTGATTGCAAAAGACAATGTGGCGAAATTCGAGAAGAAATGCTGTGAGGCTGTCCCTCCGACCCATACTCAATTAAATTTCAGGAGCCAGCCGTTGTACCCGGGTACTTTTCCCTTTATTGCTGTGGAGATTGGCCCCGAGACGTTCAGAAGTTGGCTTTTGAGAAAGGAATCATCCGGCTCTGAAGATGGTAAGAAAAGCCTTGAAACTGATATGAACATCGTTGGCTAATGTGAGATCAGTTAAAGTTAAAGCGTCAATAAATCTGGCTAGATCTACCAAGCGGCCATCAGATTACGTTATCTCTTCCTTGAGGAGAGGGAGCGTTTTTGGCATAATAGCGATTGATATGTTGGACGGTAACTAAGGAGGAGACCCGCGTTGGAGCTGGCCCCCGATTTAAAATAGCGGGCAAATAACGGGGCTTCCCCTGGCAGAATAAGTGGGGCCATGTCTGGTGCAGCCTGAGGTTTCCACTTTCAGCCAGGAGGACAAGAGGTTATTTTACACTCGCTTCAGGATCCCAGAAAGAGAATCACCACAAAATTCACCCGTATATCTAAATTATATATGAACTTCATTTTAGATATCGCCCCAAACATGGTCTTTTAATCTCTACTTACAACCACTTCTTGTCCTTTCTAAGCTGTATTAGAAGAGTTCACTTATTCAGAGACTAGTGTATATGCTTTATCATACACTGCTGGTCATATTTGGTCTGAATACGGCCATACCATGACTCTCCCCACTGGGACACCGACATTAGCATTACAAAAGTCATAGGATTTTGAAAGCCAGGCAAAGTGGAAATACCCCAAGGAAAATGTGCAGACGTAGGGTGGGCATCTAGCCCAATCTTCTGTGGATCCCACAGCGTTCCCGATTCATTCCGTTACGACTTACCAGAATATTTCATCCCTATGAGACGATAGTTGTTTCATTCTCAAAGGGTCGAATTTCGTACGTATCGAGCCATGTCTGTCCCTGGTGCTAAATGACTCTCGACCCAGTGAACAAGTTCATTCTCAAACGAACGGTTAGCTCGTCATGGGGAAACGACAGTTCTTCTCCTCGTTCCTCCTTTGGGGAGACTAAAGTCGCTGAATAGCTCCTTCAGGGGAATGAGCCCTTCTGAAGCCATCAGGCCATGCCAGCGTTCCTGTGTATTCTGAAAGGGCGCTATCCCCGCCCAAAATATGAGTCTCATAACGCTGTCACACCGACTCAATAATATCAACATCGTTCCAAGCCAGTACATTGACCGCATTAAAGCGCCAAGACAGCGATACAGATGAAGACGTAGGCCACCCCACATCCGGCATATTGGACGTACGATGGACATGATACAAATCAACCTATACTCATTGGCTGGACCTCCTGAGCACGACTGATCATGATAAGAAGGGCTTCTATAGGTGAACTATAAATATACTCCTTCAAGTTAAAATGGTCACCGGCATACTGTAAGAATCAGGTTATAAACGTCCGACACTGCCACATCTGGGCTAAGTGGGCGATGATCAACACAACTTTGTCGGTACTTAGCATAAGGCGACGTGGGCCGCTAAGCTTCAGAGGGATGCAGGAACCCCAGACCAACGTAATTCCTCCGCCGAGTGCTCCCCAATGAGAGAGACGGAGACCATAATAATCTGGTTACCATTCGTTTGCCGAAGCCCTAATGCGGGTCCAACATACGCGGCGCCAAGACGACTATATCTCTTCAGGCTCAACAAGACCCCCTGCGGAAAAGCCGAAGAAGCCATTGTATTACATCTACTGCGTATTACGCATCTCCTTACGGGATGAGAGGCACTAGAACAACATTTCCTGCCCGAATGGTCCATACAGGAGCCGGCAAGGTGGCTGCCATCTTGCTCCGATGACGTGGATTTCCCGAAGCCGTTGACACGCTTGGGTTATAAATATATGACTTTCAAGCATCAATCAGCTATCAACCCAACGGAAACAAAATCGCTCAGAATTCTTCACTGGATCTACATGTTGAGTGGTAAAAAGATTCTAGCAATATGCATTTTTCAAAACTCCTCCTTCTCTCCGCTGCGACCCTCGCAGTTGCGCATCCCGGTGAGAAACATGATCCTCATGTGCTGAAGCGCGAGATTCACGCTCGTGATGCTCTTGCTGCCCGGTCGAAGCGTGGCCTCGATGCATGCGCTACTAGTGAGCATGCCAAGCGACTGCAGCAGCGTAACATCGCCCGTCGTGCCCGTACCGTTCGTGAGCTGCGCAACGCCCGTGGCGTGACGACTAGTAGGTTTCCAGAACAACAAGGTCAATATGTGTTACTCAATACTCACGGTTTTATTAGGTCCCAAGAAGTGGCGCCGTGACTCCGATGATCTGGAGAAGTGGGAGGCTGTCAACCACAACATGACCGGCTTGGTCGACTTTACTGCCGAGACGCCCGAAAGCTCGGTCTTCGGCGGTAACACCAGTGCCATCTTGTCTCCCACGATCACCGACGGACCATACTATGTATGGGGCGAAGTGCAGAGGAGCAATGTCAAGGAGGACGAGTATTGTGACGGCGTTGACGTGTACTTGGAGGTCCAATACATTGATGTCAACACTTGCAAGCCAATTCCAGGTGCCTTCGTCGATATCTGGAATGCTAACGCCACCGGCGTGTACAGGTACACACCCACAAGTCACCGTAATTGAACACAGGTTGCTAACTTCAGATACAGTGGCATATCCACTTCGGGCAATTATGCGGCTGACGGCTGGGATAGCACTTACCTGCGTGGTATCCAGGAATCTGATCAAGACGGCGTTGTGGCCTTCCAAACCATTTTCCCGGGTCACTATGACGGTCGTGCCACTCACACCCACCTTTTGACTCACCTTAATGCCTCCGTCCATGATAACAATGGCACACTCGTTGTGGGAACCGGCAGCGTTGCACACATCGGTCAGCTGTTCTGGAACGAGGTCTTGCGCTCCGCCGTCGAGGACACCTATCCTTACACCACCAACACCCAAGAAATCACTAGCAATGCTGATGACATGTGGTCAATCGAACAAGCGTCCAGCTCTTATGACCCATTCCCCGACTATGTGTACCTCGGAAACGATCTGAAGGATGGCCTCTTTGCCTGGAAGCAGATTGGCATCAACGCTAGTGCCGACTACACCGATAACTCGTATTACAGCATTGCTGCTTACTATGACGAGAACGGTGGCCACCAGAATACCGACAGTGCTGCATTTGGAGGCGGTTCTGGTAGCGAGGGTGGTATGCCCTCGGGCTCTCCCTCCGGTGCCATGCCTTCCGGCACTCCAATGTAGAGAAATCGTGCCTAGACACGGCATGATCTCTCTTTCCGGCTAGACGAAGGTCTATTACACTACGGATCGAGTGTGCCTCGGGCTTAGAGCCATGATTCACATCGCTCAGTACGATTTGGGTCTAGCAAGTCAATTCTCACTATCCTCATACGGTGTACATATCGATGTCTCTCCTTCTAATATGTATCTTTACCTACGTAGTATATCATATAACTTTGTTCTAATGAAGCAATTGGGCTATACCTTAACAATATTTCCACAATTTTTCTCTTTTTGTTTTGTTTTTTTTGCCCTTTTGTCGGTCTCTTCTTCTAGGTTATCCTTCCCTTTGTTGGTACCCCCGCAAATTCGCCTTAATCAACCACCACACCAGTGCCTCCCCACGTAACCCACCAGCTATACATGACCGGCATTCTGCAATTCTTCTAGTCGTAGGTCATTGATCGGACCTTCTAACACATAAGCAGAGTATTGTCCATTTACCAGGTTCGTGCCAACCTCGTATTGGTTAGCACGTGATTCGCCCGGTGTGGCGATGCACGCAACCGACAGATCAACACCAAACATTGATCTGTTTGCCAGATAGCAGGCCAACTACCCTTTCTCAAGTCCTGCGATACAGTCAGGCTTTTATTTCCCGGCAACACCTAGTAGGCAGGAGATCATGTCTGTCGAACAATGTCTCATTACGCGGGGCGCACAGGATGACATTCGCGCCCGAACAAGCAGCCTTGGGCAGGCTGTATTCCAAGTGCCACTTTATTCAAATCAGGAAAAGTTATATCATGCGCGGCGTCCCCATAAAAAGTCGCGAGGGGGCTGCATAACCTGTAAGAAGCGGAGAGTTAAAGTGCGGATGTCGATTCTGACGACTGTTCTGGAACTAATATTGAACATGAGCGCAGTGCGACGAGGGTAAACCAACCTGCATTAAATGCCAGAAATACGGCGCACCGTGCAGCTATTCTACTAGGTCATCTGGAAAGGGATCTATAACTGATGTAGCATCAAGCACGCAAAAGCCAGACGACATTACATTTTCTTTTTCTCTGAGTGACCTAGCGACACGGATTGAGCAGGTCTTAAACCTGGATACAGGCACCAATACTTCTCTGGTAGAGCGAAATGCTGTTTATCCTGTCAGCATGGTTGCCTTCCAACATTTCATTAAGTGCTCCACCGAAACAGTTGCCAACCCTGGTCTCCGAGCCGTCATGAGGAGCGACATGATTCGGGTTTCGTTTACGGTGAGCTTCAGCCCCGTTGTTAACTTGATCGGTACAGCTCCTAATAGCTGAATGTCCTGGCAGAGTCCGTATTTGATGTATACAATAATTGCAGTTGGCGTCCTTCACCTCAATCGCGTTTCCCCCGGAAATAAAACGCGGCAGTTTGCAGAGACATATTTCTGGCAGCGCGCAATTAAGCTATACCAAGCGGCACTTACCTCCAACGTTACTCCGCAGAATGTTGATTCCCTCCTCTCAACGTGCATGTTTATGGGGCTCACCAGTCTTTGTCCTGAGAATATCAAGCCAACAGACTCGTGGGTGTTATCCGATAAATCGGATGCAATGAACTGGCTTTGTTTACAGAGTGGCCTCCGATGTATCATAACCCTCGCTAAACCGTACCTTGATTCCAGTATCTGGGCCTCGACATTCCAACATGCCCACGAGGACGAAGTGCAATTCTTGGAGCACGTAGTTAAACAGGGACGGGAGGGTCTCGACCCCGATCTTGCTGACCTCTGTGGGATTGACGAATCTACCACGGCCAAGACAAATCCATACTACGAGCCTCTCGCATCGTTGACAGCCTTGTTCCAATTAGAAAAGAATTTTAAAAACTCGGCAAAATGCGCAGAATTCATGGGAAAGTTGTCGAACGATTTTCTTGCGCTTCTGAGACGGAGAGATCCGCCTGCCCTTTTGATTCTGGCACAGTGGATGGGTCTTATGTGTACCTTATCCCAATGGCAGCCGTGGATTTTTGGTCGACTTGTCACTGAGTGCATCGCTATTTGTATGTATCTAGAGCATGATCCGGATCCCCGGATATCGCGTCTTCTAGAGTTTCCAGCTACCGCGTGCGGATATTCCTCTCGAGATGTTTCATATAGTATTTGAGGGCGGTAAACTGAAATACACCTTATGATCAATGGGGAATGTTACTAGTAATATGTTTTGCTGAATCTTGGTTCCAAGGTAAATGCGCATCAAATGCATGTCGAAATATATAGTTTAGGGTTGGACACTGGCAGTTATTGGCAGCGGTAGTAGTAGTAGTGGTTATTAAACCTGGAAGCCATCGACACCAAAACGACATATGACACAAAAGCCTCGTATGATTAAGGCGCACAGACAATATGCCACTAAATCTGTAACAGCACAAGAATATATATTTCCTGTTACTGCGTTTGTTTATATACTGAGGAGACTAACCCCAATCGGGGTCCAGAAGGGCTGTTTTCTGCCGTTTTGGATGTCGTCACCGCTTCCCAAATACACCAATACCTTACAAACAAACAACATCCATTTTGAGCAGCCAACCATACGGGCCTACTGAGCATGCACCTCTGCGAAGGTTAGCCATGTTCTTAGTGCCCCTTCAGCAATAAACGCGTTGCATAGTTCGACTGGCGGACATTCGCTGGCTCGCTGAGTCACGCCTAGCCCTGAACGCGATGACTGGCAAGTCATGAGCCCTCAAGACAGTGCCGTTTGGCGCTGGCTTCGCGACGTGCCTTGTGAAACGGTGGCTACCCCACCAGATACAGCGCCGTCTTCACCATCAAATGACTTGAAACGGAAAAGAGCTAGGACGGCCCGATCTATGAGTCCTGCGAAACGTCAGAGGATCCTGGACGAAGCCGATAATGTGCACCCTGACCAAAGTGCGTCTGCGATTGCGGTTACAGAGCTTTCCGAGAGAATAAGGCTCTCCTATCGATCGTCTTCCAGCCCGTCGAAAGACGCAGTGACTCCGGCTCGAGACTTGCTGAATGATTTCCGAGCGTCGAAACCTGCTGTCTTTCTGTGAATTACCCTTGACGATTCCCTTACAGAGAATGCCACCGCTTTATGCACCACCCTCACAGAAGGTCTAAATGAACGGGTGATCCCCATTGGCCTGAAGGTAAGCCAAAGCTATATCAAACGAGAAAAGCCTATAGCTTACCGGAAGCTCTGTGTTGTTCACTTGCAGGACCGAATATGTGCATCTTTCCCCCTCATGGCGAACGAAATACCGCACTCTGCGTACGATGAGGCAGATAATCCATCGGATCGTGAACTGGACTTGCTCTGGGAAACTATCACGGAAATACTGAGCAACGCCCGGGAATTGAGCCTATTTCAACAGGATGAGAATGCGTGGTGCAGTCAGGTGGTCTATCCTATGCTGCACCTTGCATTTAGGGGTAGTATGCTAAAAACGGAAAGCGTGTAAGGTCTTCCTGGTTGACCTTTTACTGTCTTTTTTCCAGGAATTTCCAGCTGACAGAAGAGAAACACCTAAGGCAATCCCAGACGATCAACCCTGAGCTACTCCCGATAATGCCGAATAACCATCGCGTCCAGAAGAAGTGCGATTATGCGTTTTCCTTTCATATACATACTCAACAGGTCTTGGATATATATGATGCCCTCGTTCGTGCAGGCGCGGGCGGTGCCCTGAGCCAAACGATGGACTCATCTATGAAGCGGCGGCTACTTCTTCCCGGGCTTGAAGTCAAAAATGAGAATGGTGGGAAGGATGAAGCACTTGCCCAACTTGCTACTTGGATTGCGACCGGGATGGAAAACACTAGGAAACTTTGGGGTCAATCCTCCGAACAGGAACGTCCGTATTGCGACCTACCTCCAATGGTTGGGTGGACTGTTGTTGGCCATGACTGGCATACCTGGGTGACATTTGGTGCCACTAAGAATGGCATGGACAGGCTTGTTCGTAACTCTCTTCCCACGTTGTCTAAGCTTAGCTGACACGCTGGTTATAGTATGTCGTAGGACCTTGGAGGGCTGCTGCCGCGGCCACGAGAGATGTGTATGGAGCTTTTAAGTTACTGAAGCTTTTGCGCAGGGCGTCGGCATATGCGAGTACTACATATTGGCCTTGGTTGCGGCAAAACGTTCTCGAGCCTCTGTGTAGTGACAGTTAGATACTTCCATTCGTAGTCCCGAAACTGATTTCATTGTTGGGGTTAAATCCCCTGCCGCTGGGCGTTCACCTGACCGCCGCCTGCCGGATTATTGCTGCTGCCGGTGCCTAGACCGTAACATGCAAATGATACTCTATGCCTACTCCCATACATGGCCATCACTATGCCTAACGACGATAGTGACCTCCTGCGCCCTGATTTTCATCTTTCAAATGAGGTTTTGACTCGCTCGAGGTCAACATGGTCAGCAGTAGCCTCAGCGGCTCAGTCTGCGACCAATCTGCCTTCTGCCTGCTGTAATGTCAAAGCCTTTCTCAATAAAACACCGTCCATTCCCGAATCCAGCGGTGCCACAGACCGCATCGGGAGCAATTCTCTATACATACAAGGGTATGCTAGTTGGTCAGTTACGCCGGTTCATAGACCTTCTGCTTGCGAGCTACCTCCCCGAAAAAAGACTGGATCCCGAGATGTCTACATTGGGGAATCCAAGCCAAGCACTTGCAATCTTTCCAGCGAATATATCTCAGAATGGAACGGGTTTCATCCCCTGCCAGACCCCGTTTCCAACTATCTTGGTGTCTTCGTCCTTGGCTGGTCATATATTCTTTCGGCACGATTGATAGAGATACGCCGATCAACATCGAACGACACGGTGGTCTATACTGACAACAAGGCTCGGTGCGACTGTCATGAGCAAGATCAAACTGATACACCAATCACCGATGGTAGTTACATCATTGACATTGGAACCGATGATTTCGCGGAAGTTCAATGGTGGGCTGCAATTCTCGCAGAGGGACGAGGGTGGCAGGCAACTCTCACACGAGAGGGTAAGGAGTACTACCCACCATGGGAATGTCATTTGAACAGCAGTCCATTTAGACTGCACCATCGTGCTCATCTTCCATCCGCTATCTCCCCTATTAACCTTCAGCCACCGTCCTCGGCACAAGCACAGGAGTACCTTTTCAACCTGGCCCGGTATCATGACGCTTTTGATCAATTGATTAGTGCGTTGGCTGCCACCATGACAATACCACTGCATAATCGGTTTGGGGCGAGTATCAGCTTGGCTTTGCCCCAGCCAGGACACAGCCCCATCTCGCACCGGAACACTGAGCTCACGTATCGAAACCAAATACCAACAACTGCTGAGATCCCTCATTACATGGCTTTATCATGTACATCCGGTGTGATTACATCCTGTTTATTTAGTTGCTTCTGGGAACTGGATATCCCATGCAACCTAGTCAGCCAATGGTTGAACCCTCCAATGAGGGAGATCTTTCCATCGTTATTTCAATCGAAGAACCACCATGCCATTGTCTGCGCTATGGCACAACGCAGACCAAATATAGCTCCGCTGTGGCTGGGCTCTCTAATCACAGGTCTCTTGCCCCGGATATTTCAAGTATGTTGTTCGCATTTACCAACAGTCTACCTAGAAGCGGGCACATGGACTGCATCTTCCCAGTCATTCATGGATCCGCAATACCACCGTCTCGCGCCCGTCCACAAGAACAATGGTCTAGAACTCATTCCCCGGGAAGATGAATTCCGCCTCCTGTTTATCACCGACGTGGACTCAGAAACGTATATATCCCCTCCACTGTCTCCATATCGTCCATTTGGCCTCGTGGAACTCCAAAATACTTCGATCGATGTCAGATTGCACTACGCCTGTAACCATCAACTAAGCTACTATTGCTGGAACTGGAAATGCGAAGGGGAGAAAGTGTTTCACGATTTCGGCATGTCATGCGGATCGAAAGCCGTAGAATCGAGCATCGAGTCTACCACTCTTAGGAATACTGTGTTAAAACTGGGTTGGAGGATGGTTGGGTTCGCATGCACAACTCTTTATAAGCCATCACTGGGGATCCCCGCCTGGGTGCCCACATACAGAAAGCTTGTTTCCCTCTATTCCTGGCTTCGGGCCCTTGCTTTAACAAGGCCTCGCGAAGGATCAGATACAGAGGAGGTATTTGACGATACACTCTCCGAGCTCGCGACACGGAATATATTCTCTTGGATCCTCTTCACTGAAGGAACTAGACCAGAAGAAAGGGACCTCTGGAAGCATGAGTGGCTGGAACTGTTAGTCGACAGAGATTATGGCGCAGGGTCTAGTGAGTCTAGCTTGTCTGAGGTAGGCTATGGGGCAGATAGTGAAAATTTGCGTTATGTCCATAGGTGGCGGGATAATGTTCTGGCGCCATCGGTATGATATGTCTATCACGGCTTAGGGTTCCATTCCAAACGCTCAGCTGCTGTAACTGCGACTCAGTCTGGAAGCCTCGGACTGGTGAAGGTCCATACAACATGGAAGTCGACGTGATGCTTATATCATGAATTGGGTCTATGCATGAAAAGTGCAACTAGGGCCAGGAAAGTATCCTATATAGCCAATTGCCCTTTTGAGGAATTGATAGACTCAGTGTTTGTGCTTCCAAGAGTAAGGACTAGATATAGGTGATGAGCTAGTCGAGGATATCGAAGATGTGACGGTAGTTTTCTTACTGGTCGATTTGACCTGCGTCTTTCCCTACTTATGGCAAGGGCTGGGATAAATACGAATAATACTCAAGTTCCGAAGTACGCTAGGGATAAGCAGATAGAGTTGGTCTTTAACACCAAGATCTTAGGACTAGACAACCTAGTAAATATACCCGAAAGTAGTGAAAAATGAAAAAACCTCAAGGAGAAAGCGGGGTTGGAAAATCCGACAAGCATTAACATAATACCGTTTCACACCTGTTTAACCTTGCAAACAAGCAAGCTACTTCAGCCCTGCTTATTTACCCTCGGATTCATTTCCGCGAAGTGTATCTCTTCTATCCCATGGAGGTATCACCGCGAGTATAGCAGCGCACGAGTATCGGGTTCCAAGACCAGCATCATTTCCATATGTGACCTGACTAAATGCCATCTCTTCGTGCTTTGGCTCTGTGAGCCATGTAATCCCGGGCAGATAGTATGCTGGCCAGACATAGTGGAGCACCTGCAGGGACCGTGAGTGCCTGACATCAACAGCTCTGGGATGGAGGAAAGCTTACCTCGTCCATCGGCATGTCGTTCCCCAATTCCGTCGTGTCGTAAGGTCGAAGGCGTGATCCAACCCGTGCTCCCTCTTCTGCAAGAGGGCCCTTTTCTGTGTAGGGGAGACCTTCTCTTTGTGCGAAAGAAATCGCGCCAGCCATACCCTTCAGACGTCGCGTCATCTTCAAAAGCTTCCATCGTCGGTCAATATCGGCAAGGTCCTCTCGACTGGAGACCTGTGGCAGTACTTCAGTAAAGTTCACCGCAAGCGGTATATTCCTGGCCAAGTATGGCTGGAGATTATTTGAAAAGTAATAGTCACCATCCTCGCCGATATAGTCGTAGTGGCCCTCGATGTGCCCTTTGAGCCCTAACTCGGGGTTTTCGGGAATGTACTTCCCGTGGTTTTCCAAGACGGGCAGAACCTGGGTGTATAATCCCAGGGACTGGAAAACAGAATATAATACCATGTCTGAGCCTTTAAGCCCTCCTGGGAGATCATGGGTGGTGGCATTGGCGGTATGCGGGTAGGCGTGCGAGCAGAATATGCCGAGAACACCACCTGTGCTGGTTAGTTAGACTACAGTCGCCGCTGATTGAGCGTGGCAAGCTTGGGTTAACAAGAAAGACTTACCGTCGTCCAGAAATCCTGGTTTCATGAGGCGGTCCTTGACCCAACCGTACAATGGTAGCGACTTGGGATCGATTATCGAATGAAGCACGTTTTCTCCTCCGCTTGACACGTACAGATTATAGGTTAAGGTGATCCGATCTCCCTCGGTTATGGTCTTGATCTCATGTTCGCAGTCACTATAGAAGGCAGCCCACTGGATGCTGGCCTCACTCCCTGCAGCCCAATCAAAGTCCACCTCCCTGTCCTGGTGCCTTACAAGGAGGTTTCCACCTTTGAAACGCGCAGGGAGACAAACAACCAAGGAACCGACTTGGGTCTGAGAGCGGGGAGTGTCAACGTGGCTACGGAACAGCCCAGATGGCCCCGAGTAAATCTATGGATAAAAGTCAGCTAGGCCATCACGGAGGGAAACATTCACGGACATTCATCTTGTAAAGCTCTGCATAGATCTTGCGCGATCCTAATGTATTCGTTGCCTCGGTGAGCATTCCAGGAAGCAACACCTTCTCAATAGCTTCGATAATTCCAAAGTCAGCAGGGTGGAAGCTTGTTGCGAAGCTTTCCGGATCTAGTTTTCCGGCTTTTCGGTAGGATAAATCCATGACGTTCTGCTCTCCGCGACCAAAACTGGCTGGGCCACAGCTGGCAATAAGCCGTTGCAGCACTTCGGGGCTCGCATCTTCAGCATCTGGTCTAAGAGGTAGTGACAAACGTCTCGCTGAGCCATTTCCAATCGACCAGAAGATGTTAATGGGGCCGGATACTCGCGAGTGGATCTCAGAGACTGCAGCTGTTTGGGCAATAGGGATACTACCCCCACATGCATAGGAAGCAGTAGCTCGCTCCCCTTCAATGAACGTCTTTAGTTCAAGACATGAGTCTAGAAAGCTGTCTTGTTGCGGTTCTTGCAATCCAGTGGTTGACGAGGCTGTAACATGTTCACTCGACTGGCGACAATACTTCTCCATTAGAGTATCCAAAAGCGCATCGGAAACCGCATCTGGCGCCTTTATATTGCTACTCACATGGACTTTATGCCATCGACACGCCAGTCTATTCGTCAATTTCTTTACCGTTAAAATATCTGACTCGCCATCAAGATAGCCGGGAATTAAGCGATTTAAGTTTTCTCGCAGTTCTTTCTTCATTTCCTCCAATCTGAAAACCTCATCTGTTTCCAAGGTGGAGGGGTCATACAAACTCCCATAGTCTATGCTGTTCTCTTCCAGGCAACTGATGAACCAATCTAGGCAAGCATCTAACTTGCAACCCTGTTCAAGTCAGTATGGCCTCAGTACCTATAGATAGCTTCGTAATGACCTCGGTCATGACCTGATTCACTTCCTCCTCCATCTCAACGAATGTATGGGCATACTCTTCGATCGGAACTCCCCAGTACGACTCCTCCCTCCAAACGTGCTTATCAAAAAGATGGCCGCCTTCATCGTCACTCATGATGAAACAGAACAGGAAAGCCTTTGAGCAGATTGTACGAGATGGTGACCGAATGATAATAGACAGACAAAAGCATATGGCTCACTGATATATGATGCTCATGAAAGCACAGGATTCAGGAGTCTTTTATGTGGGCAAGTGTTGGTGAAGCCATGGTTGCGACTTGAGGGTGAATACTGGGTCGCTTGACTGCCACTGCCTAAACCAGGGGTGGTGTTGCCTGAAAGGATAGGCCACATCCTAGGCAGCGATTGCCCTAAGTACATGCTCTTGCGTTGTATCTTCGCTCGGCCTTTCTTCTGTACCACGAACTTCACTCTGCTGGAAACTAGGTTCTTTATATTCTCTTTTCTAACAACTCCGAGACGGTGTCAAGGACTTACTTCTCAGCTTCAATCGGACTTACTGGACCACCCCATATGCTGTGTAACGATGTGTTGAGCTCTACTTAGTATTTATTGATTCTGTTCATATCAGTGAGCACCACCAAAGAGTGATACCATGCCAAGATCACTGCCTAGATGGACTGTCTAGATGGGAAATACAACATTCCCCAGTTCATGGCTCGGTGTATTCTGCATGGGGTTGTTGTAGAAAATGTAGACCGCAAGACACCCTCGGCATGCAATAGGCGAGATTTTCCTAGTATTGATCCCAAGTATAGTAAGTTAAAATCAATTCTCACCATGAAAGTATCTTTGATTAGATATCGCAGGATGACCTGGTCCTTCATATACATGCGACATGGTGCTATCCTGGCGTAAATAACCAGTATTCGGAATACAGTACCAAGCCCTACGATGACTGAGAGCCAGCACAACGTGTGGCCAAGGATATCTCCATGTAGGGTACCGCACGGAATATCAATTTTGGTCTCATCTTCTGCGCTTAGTCTTCGTACATGCGAGAATGCAATGTCGCCTCACTCTACTGGCCAGTCAGTTATCGGGCTCACCGCTGCACCGCCCTATATGCAATCGGTTTTCTCAGAGCGATTGGAGGGATCTGGTGACTCTAGGACCCATGATTTTTATGCAAGTCGAGCGGGGTTGTACTTCTCCGGTCTGAGCACTAGAGGAACTTCAATGTACCCTCCAGTTTCATAAAAATTTTCAGATTGTACATCCCTCGCAATAGTTAATCTGTGGAGGCATAACCATCTATACAGACACGATGGCTCTCTCGCGACGTGCAAGCGACTCCAGCATCCGTGAAAGTCCTTTCTCTTCGTCAAGGCCTGGATACAACATTATCATGGGCACAAATGCTCCACGCCACCTGGGGCTAGTCTCAACGGCCTTACTACCGTATGACGCACTCTCCCTTTGTTAACTTATGCTTCTGCCATTAGGAACCCGTTGACCGGGTTGATACAGGGCCAATCGCATGATTGGAGCAGCGATATTCTCCGTCCCGTCCTCGATCATAGTTTCTGTTGGCAGTGCAGGAGCCGCGCTCTCTTTATGGGTACTCGGTCTGACACTCTCACTGTGCGGCTTTTACATCTGGCTTGAATTAGGGTGCTTAATGCCTAGTAGTGGAGGAGAGAAAGTATACCTCGAGGCTGCGTACCCCCGACCGTATCGACTTGCTAGCACTCTATTTGCCTTCTACATACTTTTCGCATTCGGAGGTACGGTTATGTAAACGAGGAAAGCAATGAGACAGAATAGGCTAATTACCCAAGTGCGATCATGTAGGCCTGGCGAGCATTGTTGTGGCCGATAACTTCCTTCTAGCAGTCGATTGCACTGCCTCTGACCTACAGAAGCGAGCACTTGCAATAGCCGTTCTCTTTGTAGTCGCGGCGATCCTATCCGTATCACAGAAATGGGGCCTCCGCATCATGAATCTTCTGGCCTTGGTGAAGATGGCCATTCTACTATTGATTATATGTACCGCTTTCGCAATCACTGTCGGTGTGATTCCGAGCAAGGGCCCTACTGACCGGGGGACCAATTTCCGGCAGCCGTTTGCTGGGTCGTCGAGCAATCTCTATGACTATACAGTAAGTCTCTTCAAAGTGCTTGGTTCGTTTCAAGGATGGAATAACTCCAGCCTTATCCTGGGAGAGGTCTCCAACCCCCAACGCACCCTCAAGATGGCTGGTGTATTCGGCGTCGGATCTGTCGGGGTACTCTATCTCCTGGTCAATGTCTCCTATCTGATCATTGCCACACCGGACGACATGAGACAAACCGGCCTACAACTTGTGGCACGCATACTGGGCAGCGTGTTTGGGAGTGCAACGACACGTGTGACCGGCGCCATGGTCGCCCTTTCATCCCTTGGCAGTATCATGTCAGTTGCATTTACAGTATGCAGGGTAATCCGTGAACTTGCCATGGACGAAGTGATCCCGGCATCCAGCATGCTTTCCAAGACCACTCGCTCCGGCAACCCAACACCGGCAACATTTGTGTACCTATTCGGGACGTCGGCGGCGGCCATGGCTCTGATTCCCTTCGGTATGTTGGTTTCTCCATGCGACAGGTTCCAGAACTCTGACGGGCTATAGGTGATGCTTATGACTTCCTCATCGATGCATCGCAGTACCAGGCCGCGATGATCAATTTCGCTGTGGTAGTTGGACTGTTTATCATCCGCAAAAGCGTACCGGCTGCCGAGTATCCGTTTCGTGTGTGGACGTCAATTGCCTATGTCTTCCTCGCTGTTCAGGTCTATCTCCTAGTATCCCCGTTTTGGAGCCCCCAGGGACAGGGTGATACCAGTTTGCCATACTGGCTTGCGCCGATCGTTGCTATTGCGGGGTTTGGATGCGGAGCGTTTTACTGGTGGTGGGCTCGGGATAAAACTGTTACTCGAGACCGGCCATTCCGGACCCTGCGTGACAGAACGCAAGCCTACGGGTCTGTGCCGGGGGGTTGAGCTTAGAGATGGAATGGTACAATGGAGAATTTAAGAGGATAGTCTGACGAAATGGTGTAACTGGTTGCTGCAAGACAAGATTTTGTGTCCCGTTCGGGGTTTGATTCACCTCGTTCCTTGCAGTCCATGTATTGCGTGGCTTAACCTAGATCAACTCAAGCCTTGGTTGAAATATACTCTATAAAGTCGGCAACTGTGTATAATGTTCCACTAATCGCCGTATCCACGGCAGCCAGCGTTACTCCCATTTGGTATCCTTCCCCACGGATACTTATATTGCATATATATGGAAGGGATCCGTGGTCTATAGCTGAAGCACCTCCTTACGCCTCCGGATAACAATAGTAGCTCTGGGACAGGTTGTATAGTTATGGCCCTTGACTAACGTCTGCTCGTTCCGATCCTTAACGAGCTTCATGTCGTAATTCAACAGCATGTGACAAAGGGTGATTTTGATTTCCATTGCGGCGAAGAACCTCCCCGGGCAGGCCTGCTTCCCATGCCCAAAGCCGAGATAGTTGGGACTAGTAGAAACAAACTGAGATGATAGATTGCGGGTGGCGTTCTCGTTGCGCTGCACAAAGCGATAGCCATCAAACCGCGTGTCTTGCGGCTCGATGGAAGCGTCGAGGGTTTGATGCGCAGCAACCATGATCGAGGTGCCTCGAGGTATGTTCGTACCGTCTGGTAGAACAACCTTGTCCTTTGCAATCCGTTGCATAGCAACTGAAAGCCAGTTAGCTGAAGCTGGCAGACAGTTGGGGTAATGTAGATGGTCGCTTACCTAGCCCACCAGGCCGCAGTCGCTGGCTCTCTTTCATCACGCTGTCCATCAGCATGAGCTTCTGTAGCGCAGGCTTACTGAGGCCTTCGTTTTCAAAGACTGAGCGGATCTCCTCCCGCATCGCCTCTTGCAACTCAGGACGTTCCGCTATATCAGACAGGAGGTTGCCCATGGTATCCGAGGTGGTGTCGATGGCCACGAACGCGAAGGAGAGCTGCATGGCTGCTGCATCGTACGGGCGTCCCTTGGCACATTCGTGGAACCACTTGAAGGTTCCCAAATTGCTTGGTGACGGCTTTTCCGGCACAGATGCCATATCGCAACTTGGAATCTTCTTGGCTATAACGGGGTCCAGCAGGTCTCGGGCTTTTTGGAGAAGCATTCGGAGCTTGCGAGATTCGGGGAGGAATGATGCGGCGAGGGCGCGTAGGGCTTTCGGCCAGCGACGCAGGACCCGGGCAACCAGAAAGATCTGCTCGGTATACTCGACAACGATGTCCAGCCAGCGGCGGTCCTGACAGAGGTCGTCCATCAGGAAGGCACGGGACATCACTTGGGCGATGGTGCTGTCGACCGAATGCTTCAGGGGGTGCTCGCGCCACTCTTGGTGGTCCGCTCGTCAGCGTTAACTTAGATAGTAGAGAGATGATAGACAGACCTGGATCATCACCCCAATATCGCCGAAGAGCGATGGTTGCTTCCTGGGAGATGGGGTCCACGAGCAGGGCTACAAGATGACGGTTAGCACACATTCAGTTCAGTGCACGTCAGTCGACACAACAGCCACCACACTTCTCGACATACGCAACGATCGCGACAGCTTGTAATTAATCACATCCCTCACAATGCCATTGTCAGCGTTCAACTCCTTAAACGGCTCGAATCCGGCAATATGCGCATGGAATTCCTATTTTTTTTTTCCACGTGAGAAAGACCACTGAGTACCACAGTCACTAACCATGGGCCTCACCTCATTGAAAAACACCGCCAGACTCAGTCGATCCTCATTGCGAATCATGTGTGCATACCGCGTCGGCAGCACGAGTCGATACTGGCTGTCCGAGAAGATGTAAAACGGGCCTCGATGCTACCCAGGGCAGAGCAAGTCCAATCAGCTGTTGTTTTTCTAGCATGTCGGAACTATGGAATCACACCTTCTCCAGACCTTCTTTAATCAGAATCGGTGCCGTGGTGTGATATCGTGCTTTCGCGGGCCCGTATCCCAGTTCGTACCATCTTCGCGTGTTGTAACGAGGTAATTGGGATAGGCCGAACGTGTAATAGAGGTCGAGGACGAGTGGGTAGGTGAGGATGAGTAGGACGGTTACAATGCCGCCTTGAAGCGCGAGGGATGTGCTCAGAAACGTAGGACTCGTGAGGAAACCGCTTAGGCAGAGAGACATCGCGGAAGGCTGTACTCAAAATCTGTGATTAGCACACGAGCAAGGTGAACGGCAATGGGACTCTCCCTTTCAGTCCGCTGGGGTGCTCACAATCCAACGCATTGACGTCTCTGAGCCACTGGCTCGGCATTCCTCGGTGTGTCTCTCCTGCAGTGTGCATAATTGAGGAGAGGAGAAGAGATGAGGATCAATGTGCAGCCTGCTGGCCGTGGGCTGCCCTTTCGCAGGTGGTGGTTGAGCTGAGATGGGCTTTCCACATGACCATCACCTTGCATCTGGTTGAGACCCAATGTTGCATAGCTGCATATTATGCATGGCCCTTACCACCAGTAAGGGAATGCGCCCGTTCACCGCAGACCATCGTCATCAAGTGGACAGATATCATAATACGCCAATGGTTGTAATATTTCCAACCGTTACTAGTACGCCTAACTCACAGGGGTGGGTGGATACCATGGAGACCTAGGCTCGGCCCTGACCGTATCCATGACTTGCTGCATAATCCAATGCAAGAAGTGCAGATGTGATCGCAGTGGCTGTCTAACCGCGCTCGGACCTCTGGTTTGAGGAGGGTGAGATTGTAATTCTATAGGTGTTATTCGACAGCGATTGTGACTCGGATCCTGGGATGAAAACCCCCATCTTCAGTCTATGACGCAGCATTTATCCGTCCAGTCCCTGTCCAGCGGGCAGTCTCGGCATATGTTTCGATCAATGGGCTCGGATCCCCATTTCGCTCGGATGCTCATTTACGGTAAGACGATGACGGTCCGGCGGCTAGCTCCCGCAAGCTAATAACGTACATGCCAAGTGGAGATGGCTGAGCTGAGCAAGGTATCCACCCTGCAATGCAAAGCAACCCGCCGAAAGTACCCGGACGGAGTGGAGCTGGTGTAATTGACTGAGCTGACAGTTATTTCCACGGCCTGCACCAGGATTGGCAGCCAATGGGAGCCTATTGGTGCAGAGGCCACCGCGTCCGTTGTCTTGCGCATGCGAGTAATGTAGGCATTGCTGAGGGAGGTGTGCCACCATGTACATACATTCTTGTGCTGCATGCTCGACCGACGGAAATCGACCGTGGCAAAGTGTGAGTCGACGGGGGTCAAAGATAGGATATGATTGCGGAGAATTAGCGTTCATGGCGGAGGTCGAGAATGCGTGATAAGGCGTTCATTCCGCAGTCCGGCTAGGGGAGAAGCATTACCCCTCGTGACGACGGGCTGAACATAGCAAGTGCCAAATTGAAACAAAACGTTCAAGGCGAATGCCTATACTGACCTCTGTAACAATGGCAAGCTCCATCCAGCATGACGTCGCCGAAGATGCCAGCCTCCCAGTCATCTCCGTCAAGGACCTGCTGAACGATGATAGGAAAGCTGCACAAGACCTCTTCCAGGCATGCACTTCCCTGGGCTTCTTTTATCTTGACTGCAGGGACCATCCATCGGGTCAATTGATAGACCAAATCCGTGAGGTCGCCGAGACATCTCTGCGGTTCTTTGATCTGCCGCAGTCGGAAAAGGATCACTGGGCATCGGACTGCAATTCCTACGATGACGAACAGGAGTACAGTTTCATGTGAGAAAATTACACGAGGGATTGATGGATACGGGAATCATGGCTAACATCATGGTGTCAAGGTACAAACCAGCGGGAAGAAGAACAGGTGTAGTGGAAGGGAAGAAAGACGGATGGGAAGGCATCCTGGTAAGCCCCGTGTCCTACCAGAACGCAAAGACTCTGGTATTCTAGGTGTTAACTAGTAGTGCAGCTATTTGAACATGCACTGAGCCAGTACAGGAGAGATGTCTCCCTTCCGGGTCCGGCATGTTTCCAAAATGCCCGATCTCTCCTGGAAACTACAAACACCTATTTGGGCGACATCGGGCGGACTGTGCTAGATAGTCTCTCGCGGTCGATGAATCTAGATCCTTCCCATAGTCTTGCCCGGTATCATAAAAAAGACTTCGCGTCACCCACCTCTTTAGAAATCCTAAAGTATCTCCCCTACACACCGGAGAGTGAGAAAGTTGGCCACGTCCCGCATACAGACATGGGAAGTCTCTCAATGGTGTTTGCGGAAGTGGGCGGCCTCCAGGTGTTCCATCCTGGAAAGAACGCGTGGACATTCATCGAGCCGAAGCCTGGGCATGCTGTTTGCAATATTGGAGACTCAGTCGAGTTCCTCTCTGGGAACACTCTGAAGTCTTCTTTGCATAGAGTAGTCCCGGACCCCCGCCAGAAAGACCGGATCAAGTTGTCCGTCGTGTACTTGATGAGGCCTGATACGGACACAGTGTTTGTTGACAGGGAAGGTAGAGAATGGAAGAGTGTCGACTGGGGTAATATGAAAGGCAAACTATTTCTAGAGGCCGGCAATGCCGCGCCGTCCAGCACTGTGTTGACCGGCCGGAAAGGCCACAAGGAGTTCTGGGAGGATAGCAAGATGGTGACGGCGGTATAAGGGTCGATGACTTTGTGATAGACCATCTACAGCAATGGAGAATTGGATCGCCACCGATATATTCAAAGGGGCTCTACTGTCTAGATATATATTCTGGTACAATCAGTAACCTCGATAAATGCACGACCTGGACAGTAGAGCTAGTCCATGTATATGCGGTTGTAGTACGGAGTACACAGGAAGAGAAATTACATTAAGATGGGATGCAGGAGATGAGAGACCAACAAAACGAAATAGTGCGTAGTCGTACCTGAGGTACAAAAGGCAGTTGATGGTAATAAATTCCATTATGACATTATATATAGTAGAAAGGAAAATAGCTAGTGGCAATGTTAGGACGATTGTTTTTTCCATGAACCATCTTGATGTGTCTGGATAGGATAACAGGCTTAACTGCACAGCAGCGCTGGGTCTTATATTCTCTACCTTTAAACGTAGACTAAAGGAACAGAAGATGTATTTGAGCAAAGGTCTGGCAGGACGAAACGTAATAGAGCGGACAGCAAGGGGGAATTCGAAATTTAACGTAGACCGTAAGGCATGTGGTCATCAATTAGAAGACAGGCATTTGGACAGCTATCCACATAGAAAAGATGCTGGCTTGTGGCAGAAAGGCTACTCGGATCTATGCGACTTCCAGGCAAGTATCCACGTTTGCTCTCCCCATTTGATATCCACTGCAGAACTTCGCGTACTGGCCACGGTCGCGTTCAAGCTCTGTGTGGCAGACTTGTAGGCTGTCTCGCTCACGTAAGACTATGTCGGCCAATTTATCGGAGCTTTCTCGAGACAAAAGATCCGATACTACAACCTTCTCTTGCAGTTCAATGAATGCCAGTAGTATGCCAAGTAACAGTGGAAAGTTGGCCACGGGTGCCATGGCATAGCGGTTCATTCGTTCTGCAAAGTCAGATGGATACGCTTGTAGGATATCCGTTATATTACCGGGCGAGGGGAGGTCCATGCGTTTCATAAGTTCCAGGCCCATCTCGATGATCCCGGGTGAGTCCATACGAGACATCTCATCCATCCCCGCGGCCACGGGCCCCTCTTTGGCAAATCCCATCTGAGCACGTAGAATCCGTATGACGGCACACCCCATTTCACTGGTGGTCAAGGCTGGCGCGTACACGAATCCCTCCAGCAGACAACCATGCATAAACCAGAGAGGCAGTAGATTGGGCAACCTGAACCGTATTGGGGCAGACCGTGATAACCTGCCTGGCTCTGTAGGCAGAATAGCTGAAGGAGCTTGGATGTCGTTGGCGTTGTTGCGGCCGATATTCGCTTGATGGATAGTGTCAATAGCCATGTCCAACTCCGTCTCCTCCTCAGACATGCGTGTATGAACCACAGTCGTATGGTACAGTGTATCAATCCACCGCTCTAGAACGCCAAGCTCTCGATCCGTAAAGCAACCAAACATGCGACCTCCCCAGCGGAGCTCCTGAACAAGTTTACTCTTCTGACTGTCACCCTTGTATACCCAGGGTCGGGCATCGGTTAGATTCCGCAGGAAATCTTGTTGCCATTCCCGTGACCGGAATGAAGTTGGCTCCAGCCAATCGACCATGGTACGGGATCCAATTCTGGCTTTACTTGTGCAGTGGATGCCTCGAGCCGCGTTCACTTTGGAAGCGAAGATATTGAGCAAGTCCCCCTCCAAGTCCGGCTTGGAGGTAAGTATCGAGGGGCCTGTGGCTACGGCGTTTGTGGAGCTAGAACTAGCATCGCCGCAGAACACAAAACCCGCCTGGATGCGCTTCCAGGCGCAATCCATCGCTTGCGTACCTTCAGAGTCTCTTACGTGATCCAAATACCGAATTACACATTCCGCAGCCATCGCGGTATGACCGGAAGCGACGTTATCAATGGAAATGTGTAACAGAAAGTAATAGGGATCTATCCCAACTTCACGGAGCTCCGTTGCAACCACAAGCGTATCAAGCTGAAGCCCCTCAAAACACAGATTGAATCCGAGTAGCTCGGGCAGAAAGCAATCTGGTGCGAGCGAAATCAAGAGATGTGCAACGGCCGCTTGCCAGAACCGAACATCGTCCGCGCCATGGTCTGTTTGTATAAAGCTTGAACTAGACGGGCAAGGCGGAACGTGGCCAACACTTCTTAAGAGCTCCTGGTACACGAACACATGATGCTTCTTGCGATCGCCATCCCCAAGCTCCTCGGACAGGATCTGCCAGAGCCCCTTGGATACGGGCCTTAGGTTGAACGGGGTGCTCACGCCATTGATATGTCCTAGCCAAGCACCATCAACAAGTTTCAATGGCGATGCTTGTCTAAGCCACCTGATAGCTGCGTCCCGGTCAGGGAAATGTTCCCTCTGGCCACCCTTTCGTCGCCGGGTATGGTACGCTTCAAACTGGTCGGTCACCTGCTCTTGCTGGCTTTGGACAAATGCCAGCAAAGCCTCCCTAGAGTACTGCTCGACCGACAAGATGTCTCTTGCGGGATTATGAGAAGCTCGGTTGAGGGCATCGGAGATCCATGTGACGAAATACTGCCTCCCTTGTTCCTGAATCCCAGGGTACTGCTCGAGGTTCTGTAGCCGATGATATAGAGTTTTGTAGAATGCAATGCTCCGAGATGCGTTATCGTCACTAGTTGCCAATGGTCTCGAGAGTGCGTGGGAGATATAACGATGTCCTACACCCAAGTAGGGAGCTAATTTACGCTTATCGACACTGGCTAAGAGCAAAATGAGAATTATAAGGAAAGCCGCCACTATCTGTATGGCCGGCTGATTGATGTCCATTTCGGAGCCAGGTCACCTTCTCAAGCCAGCGCAGCAAAAGAAAGGAAAACAGGAGTCAACACGCAGAGAAAGCGAAGACAGGGTCCGTGAGTTTGGGCTACTCTCGGCAACAAATAAACATCTTACTCGAGGCACGATCGTATTATACTTGTAACTTAGGCTGAATATCTGCAAGCCCCCAACGCAAGGCCAGGTAATCGGACCAAACTCCCAATGGAGCTTATCATGGGGATGCAAGTAAGCACGACACCCACCTCGTAATGATTAATAATTCCACGGGATAAATTGAAGAGGGGAGCAGACTTTACGCCGACTTTACACTAAATGGGGTTACATTAGAGGTATGTATCAAGATGGGGGTTAGACGGCAGAGTTGTTCCGGCTCTGCAGCACAATTTGGGTTCCGAGTCATCCATGGCAGCTGTGAGGACCATGATGCGTGGTCTTGGATGTACCCTGCAATCAGCCAAGCCAAAACATACACCCTTGCCAGGACGGACCCCTCAGCATGCAGCACCTGCATTTGCTCGTGGTGGAGAATTACGTATGGAAGCGATGTGGCGTAGCTGACTTAAAGGAAGTAGTTGCGATGTTCCTCAGAGGAACAAGCTGAGCCAGTCGCAAGATTCCTCTCTATCGTTGTCTCAGGGTGAGGTTTTTTTTCGTTTCCCACTACAGATAACTGCCAAAATGAGTACTACCGCCATCATTACAGAGAATCGCCACGACATGGCTTCCATCAAAAGTATCAGCATGCAAAAAATCCTCGCCAAGGAACCGGCGGCGCTGAGTGACCTTCTCGAAGCCGCTCGACTTCCAGGATTTTTCTGTATCGATCTTGATGGGGAGTCTACTAGAGGTCTGGTGGACGATGTGCCGGAAATATTTACTCTGGTCAAGGAGTACTTCTGTCAGTCTGAACCCGAGAAGATGAAAAACTTCAATCCCAACTACGACCGTGGGTATGTGATAGCATATATGGGAGATTAGGAACACAAGACTAACATCACGTCATAGGTACAAGAAATACGCAGACCATGAGTCCTTTGAGGTGAGCATATTTGCATCCTAGGGATAGTTTACCACTGGGGTAGAGGTCTAACTAACAAACAGATCGCCTTGGATGACCATTCCAATGGACTATCTGGTTATCCTGGTTTTCTGCAAGACCACAAGGAGCCACTGATGGCATTCTCCGAGGGTTGTCATCAGCTAGCAATGCACCTTCTTTCTGCCCTCTCTGATGGGCTCATGCGACAGGGGCCCGATCGATTTGAGAATAACCATCGACCTGAAATGCCCAGTGACTCTGGTTTCAAGGTGTACTGCGCACCGACCCAAGCTCAGCTAGCGGACGTTAAAGACAACACTCATACCGACGGTGGAACGCTGACATTGATGTTCATCAGGCATCTATGCATGCAGTTGAAGAACCCGCTGACGAACGAGTACCAGTGGATTGAGAATAGGCCAGGGCAGATGGTGGTGAATGTTGCCAATTCCCTTCAGGAACAGTCCAACGGCCAGTTGCACTCTTGTCTTCACCGTGTAACTCAGCCGGAAGATGGGGTGGAAGAGAGGTATCTGCTTAGCTATTTTCTCCGACCGGACAAGGTGGCCTGAGATCTGTACAGAAAACTAGGTTGGGGGCTTTCCTCAAAGCAAAGACCCCTCACATTCACAGTAGAATTCGACGAAATGAATAACTACAGTCTACATCCGCCGTATTCATCTTCAGATTGTCAACGCTGGAACAGGCATGTCCTTGCTACCTAAAGAGTTTTGCTCATACTTGTACTGTAATTTAACCTTAACCTCTCGACATTGAAGCAAGATCGGTTTACAAAATACTGATCGCGGATTCCACGTAGTGTAACAAGCATTGCATCCTCTGAGTAAGGTGTGGCAGATACCTCAACACACCAGGACTAAGACGAGTATTCACTTTCCCTCCTACATCCCGTATGTTATTCTCCTACTTTCGACTATATGTACCTGGTGCATCACGAATATCTTAATTTGACCTAGTATTCGCATAATAACTCCCTTAACAGGGACATTCACTGAGGTGTATTCGATTCTGCTATGCTACCAGTACTCCGCTCTCACACCACAACTCGTAGTTACGATTACCGGGCAGCCAGTAGATAGTCCCCTGTCAATCATGTCAGCATAACGGAAGTCTCTCTGAACAAAGTGTGAAGCTCGGAACTCACAAGTAGGTCCAGAAGGGGACTCCCAGCGAGCAGTTTCCTGCAACCCAGAATGATTGAATTGTTCCTGCATCTCCTCAGGGCCATACTTGTACCATTCTGTGGTCAGAATGGTTTCGCCCTTTTTGATCTCCAGATCCAACGGTTTACAGCTGACGTCTCGCTTTGCTTTGATCACATAGCGGAACGTGGGAGTCTCCCCACACACGCCCGTGATCTCCCAATCCTCTGGACGATACCACTCATGGCCAAGAACACGGTTGGAATGATGCAGGCCATTTCTGACGAAATCATGCCAGTGGCCCTGCGGGTCATTGTATGAAAGCCATACTTTCTCGACATCCTTGCACCCATCCAGACCAAGGAAAATGCGATCCCCAGGCCGCATGATGGCAGACCATTTTTGTAGGTCAGCTACAGCGATGTCAAACCTATCGTTTCCGAAGATGGATCCCAGTGAGAAGAACCAGCGCGGTGCAGTGATCCTGTCGGACCATACTCGCGCATCGTCGAATGTGCCCCATAGACCATAACACTTGACGTGTTGGTAAGAAGCAGGCAGAATATCCATGCATTTTATCAAGGACTCTTTGGACACATCTAGCGCATAGTATGTCACATCCTTCTGGGTTGATTCAAGCTGGTCAAGGATTGGTTTGATCTTATTCACATCGCTTCATTTCGTGTATCTTGTTAGCTTAGATCGTATATTGTGACTATGCGGTACGTACCCAGCACCCAAATCAATCAGAACTGCGCCACTTGGAATATGCGCGGTGATTTCATCCGCCCAGTGGCGTAGCAGGTTGATCTCATCTCGTTTGTTGTAGAACTCGGGCAAAGCAGCGCACTTGTGCCACATGTCTAAGCCCACTTCATCACAGAGAAGTGCAGTCGGCAGATGGCGCTGGCCGTCGGGCTTTGCAAGAAACCTGTCCTCTAGCATCTTGCGCAAGGACACTGACACGTCCCAGGACCCGATGTCGATGACAGTCCTCGGGGGAACCGCTTCCGTGATGGCTGTGGACGGCATTATTGTCTACGTTGCTTAGGATGGAACGAGAGAGCAGTGTTCCTGATGTAAACCATGTGGTATGGCATCAACGGTAACCTACCGATACGTTCTTACGCCTATAGAGTTGCCATATATGTGTCAGAGCTACTGGGACAAAGCAGGAGCGTCAAAAGGTGGGGATGGTCTAGGAGATTGAGCTTGGTCGGTGCCGGCTACTTCGGGCTTACCGTGTCTATGCAGTATGAATCAGATATTGATTGGTGAGGCCCTTGGCCGAATATCATCAGTTTCCCCTCTTCTCGATTATGTTCTCCCTGGTTGGTGTTGCGAGGGATTTTCCGATGTTGCATCACAGACATGCGTGAGTACTATGAAGATTGTCGCTCGTGGAGGTTGATAGAGGTGGGGAAGGCCAGAGAGTTAATGCAGGTGTCAAGTGAATCAAAACTAACAAGTCGAAATTTAAAAGCGAGCCTTGGAACAGCAACCGAGTTGTGTGAACTTGCGTCTATAGCCTGCAGATAATTGCCACGGGCGGCTGTACTCGCAACACGGCCGGATCAGGGAAATATGCATCCACATCTTGCCAGGGCCAAGCCACTACTGCACCCTCAAAGCAACCTCAATATACTGATTGGACTTGCGTTCAGCCACCCACCGGGATGCCTCTTCCAGTTTCTGACAGCAGTCTAGATCCAAAAAAAAGCCAATTGAGCATAATCATCCATGATATTTACTCTCCACGCCTGAACCATAAAGTTTTACTAGTAATGCGTATCGAAACCCTATCCAGTATTGATGTACACCAAACAAATATATTTTCCTGACAGTGCCATTTACGCAAGCCTACGCTTTGGGCAGCTGGGGGTGCATGCTCATTCAATCTTCTATTCAGGGGGGTTTCCACCAATTTCCGTCAAATCCGGTTGGTATGTCAGAAGCAAGGAGTGCATATGCAGGCTGGCAGGTAGAAACAGGCTGGAACCTACAACGCACAAGCGCGTATTTTTGCTTTTTGATTTTTCTTGTTTCATTTTTCTGTTTGAATCAAGGAATGGGATACTGTGCATTCGCCATTCTGTCGGCTTCTTCCGTCCCAGCTGAATCTCCCACGTCGGCGAGCAGGATGTCAACGGCTGTCAACTTCGGCAGTCGATAGTCCATCATTCGAGAGTAATTGAGCTCGAGCGGGTGCCCTGCCGGCATGGAGAGTGTTGCTATAATGTTCTGGTGCTGCCATTACGTCCCCCAGTCACCCATGGAGAGCTTCTATAACCCCAATATCAATAGTTGACCTCGTCTAGCACCCAGCATCGCTGGATCCCATCCTCCAGCCATCATGACGGGCGACAAGCGCCTGCGGTTCCCCTCCAGCCGACTCCGCCTGAGCAACGGGGCCGTGATTGACGAGCTCTTAGCTCAGGGAAAGAGGATTCACGGATTCTGGGGTAGGTTAATTGAAAATAGGTATGCGACAGGCGAGGATATACCTCGATGGCTGACGATGCTATTGTTTCTAGGTACCGCTCCGACGGGAAAACGTTAGTATAACGGCCCGCTGTGGCCCGTCCCGCCACTATAGAGTGACACATGCTCATGCGCTTTGTGACCCTCAGCTCATATCGGATACCTTGTACCACTCATCAAGATCGCTGAGATGGTCGCCGCGGGGATCGATGTGAGTGTTGCGCTGCAGATACACTACTGTTCAGGTTCTGGTATCTAACATTCGACTAATGTTACCCGCCAGTTTAGTATTTATTTCGCCGACGAATATGCATACCTCATTAACTATAAACATCCCAGGGAGCTGGTGGATTATCGTACCCAATACTACGAATTCCTTGTCCGTGCCACCGTAGAAGCGTTGGGGATCCCGCAGATGGCAGACCACTTTGTCCGGGAGTCCGTCCTATTCGCCGCGGTGAAGCAGTCTGGCCATGATCTGAACCGGCTATACACCTTGTTGTCCATCGACGATGTGCGTGCCGTATCCAATGAGATGGCGACAACCACCATGACAAGCTCGCTTCTGTGTCCTGCACGCCAGGTTCTCTGTGAGGAGTATTTACACGTGGACTTCCAACTGGGAGGGCAAGACCAGGCATGAGATACCACAAGAAACCCCTATACTTCTCCGTGCCCATAAGCTAACAATCAACTTGATAGTCCGGTGTCTTCGCCCTAGCTGAAAGGATTCTCCCACACCTCGGATACACAAGTCGAGCCCACCTCACGACTGAGATGATCCCCGGGCTAACCACGGAAAAAATGTCCTCCTCCCATGCGGCTGGCACTAAAATTGAACTTCTCGATCCACCAGATGTCGTTTGTAGCAAGATAGGTGAGGCAACATGTATGCCGGGGGTTGTGGAAGGGAATGCTTTGTTAGCGATGGCAAGACACATTCTATTGCCCCTTTGCAGACTTCGCATGGCCCTGGAAGGTGGGTCACACCCCTTTACTGTGCCCAGCGCCACCGGCGAAGATAGAACCTACTTTAATTACGAGGACCTGGAACACGATTTCTTGGCCCACTCTTTGACACCGGCCGAGTTGAAGGCATCGGTGGCAGCAGGCTTGAATCTTGTGTTAGACCCCATTCGCAACAACTTCGATTCAAACGAGGATTGGCAGAAAGTGGCAGTATTGGCATATCCAGAATGATGGACGAGGTAGTTGGGAGTATTTTACGCGCTTGGAGTCTGGTAGTTCCAGGAGGGATAATTTTCATACGGCATGGACATCAGAAATTTGTTCATAGGTAGCAAGTAAAAACTGACAACATGAAACAAGAAACAGCTGGAACTCTTGATTCTCTAGTAAATCTACCAAAAAGTAGCTCTATGTTGTAGAACAGTGTACTTTGCAGGTTGGACAATGTTGGGAAGGCCTACGTCTCGACAGCTCAGCGCACCGGGGAAACTACGAATATGCCATGACTGATTGCCGATGTATGTTACCAAGTGTTACGTTTCTCCCCCTCTCTTTCCAGACATCACGATTGCGTAATGGGTCAAAATGGTGGCCTCCGCATGGTAACTACTCGGCGCACGGTCATTCCGGGGCTGTCTGTCTCGCGACGGCGTGGGATGCCCGTCCTCGAGGCATTTTGTTGTGAAATGCGTATCGCGGAATGTCGGAACCTGAGGAGGAGACAATTCTGGCAGTGGTCGATATTGTGCAGACTAATTTAGGCCGTGCAGGATGGGCGCAGAGGGTGGCTGGCGTGACGACTGAATATATTATTCACCAGAGCGACGAAGGATCCCTGTGCAGATGACAGGCATCAACTTGGAACATGCTGAACTGTCCACATGATGTCGCCCTAAGGAGTTGCGATTAGCATTGCAGAAAGGAACCCCTCATCTCTGACATCAATGTCTCGTCCGCGGTAATGTGGGAATCTGTTCTGGCGGAGGGGGTGCTGCCATTGCCCTCGTCTGGTATCACCAGGAGGAGACATTTCCCTTCCCACCTCGTATGCCTAGTCAGCTTTAAACAGGGTCATAGCCACCATACCACAGTGACCACCAGATTCACCCTTCGTGTACGTGTGGGATAGCCTCCTTCTTTCACAACCCAAAATGTCTTCTGCATCCGTTGTCCCGGTTCTGGACTTCTCCCTGGTCCATACACCTAAGGGTAGACAGGCCTTCTTGGACTCCATGCTGGCAGCCTTACGTGATGTAGGGCTCTTCTACTTAAAAAATCACCCCGTGCAAGCTTCATTGTTTGAAGAAGCTCGACAAGAATGTGACGCATTCTTCAGTCTTCCCGATGTGGACAAGGCCGAAATCGACATTGCGAATGTCCCCAGCTTCCTCGGCTATACCAAGGTAAGTGACTCTGTTTAGGTGGAAGTTATTCATTGCTCAGTCGGTGCATTCACCTTTCAGCTCGGATCAGAGGTAACTGCCAACCGTACCGACTGGCGGGAGCATCTTACCATCTCAACACCACACCCTGCCCCGACGGGCGGGCCAGCCTATCTGAACCTTCTCGCACCCAACCAGTGGCCTTCACCGGACAGGCTTCCACATTTCCGCACCGTATACGAACAATGGATAGAGCAAGTATCGGACGTCTCCAACACAATGCGCAACCTGGTGAGCGAAGCCATGGGAATCGACCCAGAACTGGTGAGCCGGTTCTTCCAGAACCAGCAGCACCGTCTTCGTCTCATGAAATATCCGGAAATCCCAACCTCGCAAGCAACAGACAAAGAGCAAGTGGGGTTGGGCGCTCACCGAGACAAGGGATTCTCCACACTGATTTTCCAAGCCTCCCCCCATCGTTGCTTGCAGGTGCAAACACGCGAGGGGGTATGGATTGACGCTCCCCCCTTGACAATACATTTGTCTTTATTGCCGGCCAAGCCCTGGAAGCGATGACCCATGGGATCTGTAGGGCTCCCTGGCACCGGGTTGTGACTCCCCCTCCTGGCCTGGGCCCCCGTTATAGCATTGCGGTGGGCACGGGTATTGGCATGGATACCGCTGTGGCGGCCAAGGAGACCCAGGAAGCGCTGAACACACTGCGCGACGATATCTTGCAGCGTTTCCCCGATGCACGCGATGAGTTCCGGACGTTCCTCGCTGGCACAAGGGATGGTGAGAGCGTCGGGACCCAGTATCTGGCTCAGTACCTTGCTAGCCACCCCGATATTGCCACCAGATGGGTAAGTGTCACTTGTATGTCCATACCGTGAGAACTCCAAGGCTAACGTCGGTCGTTTCGTGTGTCGCGCTGTTTAGTACCCACAATATTCCGCCCCCACTTGCAAAATATAGGCTTATCTCGCCACGGTGTCGCGAGCAAGGGAAATCTACCTCCCGTAGCGCGGATATCCAGGGGTTCGTAGGCCAGTTCGTACGACAAGATGGCTACGTGCAGGGATGAGGAGTCACGATGGCCCAGCGTGATTTGACATCTTTTGACAATGTAGCACACGGTAGCATACTAAAACCTATGAATGAACCGAGCTAGCATTGACAAAAATTTGTGATTGTTCGGCGTAGCCTATTCAGTACCAGTAATACGAGTCCCAAGAGTAGTACCACGAAACGCGATGATGACTCGGCGGTTAGGACCAGTGTGGCCCCGGGAAGCTAAAAACCATGGAAAGATAAGAATCCTACAGGTCTTTCGCACCCGAGCAAGCTAATCATACCGTCTGCACGGGGGGTTTGGGCTTCCTGGTCGGGAAAGTAAACGAGAGCATCAAGTCCCAATGCGACCAAGAACCGCGACTCGCGCATGCCCACAGCCAATCCACGGCGCCGCAATATCAGCAAAACCCCGCCAGCGAGGAGGGGGCGTCGGTTTCTTTGTCTAGATAAATACCGGCCGCTGGGTTGACCTGCTCGTGTTCATTAACGTACTCTTTTGTCCTTCGACTGGGGCCAACCGACCGGCAAAATGGGCCGCACGCTGACATATCCCAAACGATCCGCGAACACCGTCAATCGCTACAAACATAGAGGTACACACCGAACGACGACGGTTCACGCTTCCCCTTTTTTATGCATTCGAGTTAACTGATGCTACGCTTGAAATAGCCACCTATGATCTCGAAGCCATCCATTCCATCGTCAATGTGGCCCCCGTGCTGCACGTCTCCTTGACCGACCCTTCGGAGCCCTTCCCCGTCACTCTGCCCATGATCGGCCACATGGGAGACTTCCACCACCCCTCCTCCGGCCTCGACGAGCCTCTCGATATCTACATGCATGGGTATGTGAGTTCGCGTCTGATGAACGAAGCCCGCTCCGCCGCCGCGTCATCCCCAGAGGGCGGGCTCCCCGTGTCCATATGCGCGACGATGGTCGACGGAATCGTCCTGACCCTGACGCCAAACTCGCACAACTACAACTATCGCTCTGCCGTCATTCAAGGATACGCCCAGCCCGTAGACGACGACGAGGAGCGGCTCTACGCAATGGAACTCATTACCAACTCCGTGGTTACAGACCGCTGGCGTCACTCTCGGGTGCCCCCCGACAACGCGGAGATGCAGTCGACGACCATTCTGCGCGTGAAGGTAGTCAGTGCCAGCGGGAAGATTCGCGATGGTGGAGTCACGGACCTGAAGAAGGACTATGAGAACGAAGAGGTGACCGCTCGTGTGTGGACGGGCGTCATTCCCATCTGGCAGACCATGGGTGAGCCAGTTCCGAGCGAAGGCAATCAAGTTGCTCCGGTGCCCGAGCATGTCACCTCGTACATTCGTCGTCGGAATGAAGAGAGCGAACGGTATGCTAAGCATGCAGTGACGGTTCCTTTGCCCAAGGAAGAGATACATTAGGGGCAGCACAATCACTCAGGATTAGATGTAGACTAACCACCTAGTCTGCTTTGGCGTCTTTCATGCGTTTCAATCAGCCTGGAACATCAGAATGCAATAATATCCTATATTACCAACAATTCTTGGAGCTAACTCCGGCTATGTCGAAACGCTTAACTGAAGAAAATTCTAGTCACATCTTCAACAGCAGTATGGCCTACGTCTGAATGGTGCCAATACCGTGACAAAACCCGAAATACATTGCCTAGAAAACAGGAGACAACTATAGCAAAACAACAAAATACCGTTTCCTGCTATCACTTCTGTAGGCCTTTCCATTCCTCACGCGGGTAGCCAGCAGCTCCCGGACCTTCTGCCAACCACAACCCAGAGCCCTATGTAGATTTGCTGAGGGTCTTGAGAAATTTGATGGGAGGCACGAAAAGGTACTCGCCGCCTCGAGCGACCACCCAATTATCCAAAGACACATGAACAGTCTTCTTGTCGCCATCCACCATACAGAACTTGGGTGGGCCTGGGGGCACAGCCTGGCCGCAGAAGGGATCGAGGCCGGCCCCCTCTGGCCCAGTAGCGGGCTCTCGCTCTGGCCACTGGCTGTTATTAATCATCTCTACAGATAACCCGATTGATTAGCGCATTCCGTTACACTATTCCAGCCACCAAAGGGCATGGGTAACATACTCTTTTGCATGAATGAGAATCCGTTGTCAATGTCGCTAGAGTAGGCCATGAAGAAGATTCCACGGTCTACCGTCGTCTTATGATCCTTCTTCTCCTGTTCGGTCACGTCGGGTCCATAGGTGATACCACGGCGGAAGATGGAACGGGTGAAGCGATCTTCAATGTCGGCACGCGGCCGTGACTTCCGAATATGCGCGGCAAATGGGCATCGGCTTTGGGTGTCCGCTGGGTCGAAATCGAAGTTGTTACTGTGAGCCAGGGCGGGATTGTCTTGGTCTGGTGCCATATCAATTGGAGCTCCTGCATTTGTTTAAATCAGCATATCTCCATGGAAATATGAAAGGCCTGTCATACCGCTCCGCCATCGTCCCATAAACCTCGCCGCGAGCTGTTCGCTAGTGAGGTTATGTTTTGAAGCCTCATCTTCCAGATATCTAGGTTTCACGCTCGTTAGTGCTTCCTGATCATAGGTCACCAAGTCTGATGCTCACGTACTTGTCGAACTCTGGAACCATGCATTGCAGTTTCCGAATTGCGAGGAAGCTGCCTTCGTGGGCCCAGTCAGGTTGGCAGATAGGCTGCCCCCGGTGGCCGAGGAAGAAGATCCTGTTATCCAGTAAGCATATGATCGTTGCGGAGGGACTCTTGGGAAGGACGCCTACCCGGGAGGGATCAGTGGCGGGGCTTTCTCTCCCTCCTCCGGCCGGTCCAATCCTTGAATCTTCGGCTGCGAGATACCGTCCTCGTACCCAAAGCTATTCACTCGTGAGCTCGTGCGTCCTGTTGGGTGGTTTCTACTAACTGTTCTTTGCTTCCGTTGGGAGCATCTCTATCCTTTCCAGAGAGGGCTACGACTTCCTCAATGCTGGTGGTAAATTTGAAGCGTCCAACGAAAAGGGCTTGAATGTCTTTCCACTTCTTCTCCACAATGTCTTTGCTGCTGCCACCAATATTGATGAGGCCATGTATCTCTTTGTTCTTGAACTCATCCATCCAGTCCGTCGCTTTGTCACGACCACCATTGGCAGTGTCGGTCATGTCAGCCAATTGACCAATCTCAAACGCCTTACTCTGGATGTCGCGCTTGCCCAGCTGAAGCCACTTCGTCAGCGAGTTGGTCTGTCACATCATTTGTTCGGGATGCCCTACCAAAGCCAAGCCTTTGCTAGTAAAGGAGATGTTGACTCCAACCACGTCGAGCAACTTGGGGGATTCAGTCCCCTGAGCAACAGCAATCTTGTGCTGTCTGATAAGGCCTTTGTCCTGCATTGCCTTCTCACAGTCGGTTATGTGTGGGATGAAGCTGCTGAGGTGACTTTTGAACCTTTCCACATTGAGAATGCGGAAGAAGTGAAAATCTTCATACTTCTTCGATAGTCCAGGCCTGTCGACAGTCAGGCACATGAGCATGGGATAGGGAGCTCTTGACCTACCAGATGTCACCTTGGACATTGTGCTTATCGATGCAGTCCCCAGACATGGTGAAGATAGACGCTTGAGGCGGGCTTTCTGGTTTAAAGAGCTACTAAGTCGGAATCTGATGATCGTGGATGCGCTGTGGTCTTGGTGACAACATTCTGGCATCCGGGAGGCTATTTATGTCTACCCTCACGCTCCACCGTTCGCCGTCTGTACATGACGAAACCAATCCAACAAGCGAGAATGGTGATCTCATCCCCATTCACCGACACTATTGCTACTGGCTGTGCTTACCCAGGGATCATCCATCCTTTGATTGCAAACATGCTGTGATCACAGTGGGGAAAGGGCAATGTGCCCAACCCGATGGAGGCAACACATCTGAAGAGGCGTTCGATAGATCATTGACGATTGCAGCAGATGCCTACACTATGTGCTGATCCGCTCCTGGGCTCATCCTCCAGCGTTACAGATGGCATGAATTCGAACCACGGAAGGCAGCAGGTCGGGACGCTGAACGCGTCCTGGCCTCCATCAGCATTTTCCGATCTCCAACCATACGCTGTCGTCATACCTGGCATGTCCCGATTGGTCTCGGTCTAGACTGTGGCAGCAATAGCCTCGAGACATCTGAGACCTTAGGTTGCAATATGGGCTTTGAGTTCATCGATACCTCCATCCCATATCCGAAAGCAGGCTGGGGTCATCATCGATCGTGTGGGGAGGAATTGGTTCAGCTTCTGGGAAAGTACCGTGGTGCTTCATCGAAGCATCACAGGCGAGCTGAGAACCGATCTCTGCACCCGGAGCAGCCATGTAGACCTTTCTGTGGAGCAAGAACCAATAGAACCGCGGGCCTTTCGAATAGGATCTCAGCCCTCTACCACAAACGTAGCACTTCCACTATTTCGATTTCTTCTTCTGTCGCAACGGTGGCGCCAATGTTGTCTCGATCTCCACTCTTCGTTGTGACTGGCCGCAATCATTGAAGACATTCGTAGCATATTCCCTGAAGCGACCACAATCGGAGCCTCTTTGCGTAATGTGTGCTCGACTGTAGCTGACACCTGTGGTTTCCGGGTGGATCTTTGCTTGATATGCCTGATCTGCGCTGCGAACGTCCATCCCTGTGAGCTGACTGGAATCGACCGTTCACAATGACGAACCGCCAAAGCAAGAGGCTGTTAAGCACCACGGTGGATGGGATGGACATTCCTCTTCTGAAGAAGCCAGGGCACTGGAACAGCCTATTCCGTCGGCTGTCTTACATGAACCAGTCCTCCGGCGCAAGGGATTTACTCTCAGTCTCAACAACATATCATCGTGAAGCCAATACCACTGCTGAGTGTCCCTGCATCTGCCATTCCTCTCCTTTGTGTCACTTCACGCGCATTACCCATCCGTCGCTGGTTCCTTCCGCGCCGCAGAGACCGATAGGCATTCCAAGAGCGCAGACACAGTCCAAGACAGCAGGGATCGTCTTCTGCAGTGTAACACAAGTCTTCAGCTAGCCACACTATCAGCAGCCACTGCCAACCAATTCTGCATTCCGACCCGCTCTTCCCAAATAGAGACGGTTGAGTCGTGAATGCGGGCCTTGCGGCAGGCCACCCGATCGGTCTTTCCGTCATGCCAGCCAATCGTGGCGTTCCTATTTCCACTGTATGATAGGCCCAGTGCCCTGTATAGCTCTGGCTATTATAATGCAGGGATTTTTGTTGGCGCCCGGCCTTGTGGTGGGGGGTTGCTGGAGCCCCTGCAGTTTCCCTTGGGGACAGCCGAACTTGAGTCTCCCATGTATTTTACCGAAATCTTGGCATTTTACACTCATGCACGCACCTGTCAGCAATGCCGTACCCTGCAGACTGTCCTTTTCAGAACTCATATACCCAGATGACGTTGTCGATCGGCTGGTAGGCCTCCGACTGGTCCGTGCGACTCACTGAGGTCCGCCTGACGAAGGGCACCACGTAGCATGGGCAGTCCTGTAGCCCTCCGACCAGACGGGGTACACTGCATAAGCGTCCAGTAATTCCCGGAGAAGGTCGGAGTGCACCATACACAGGCAGTGTCCAAAGCTTTGCGTCATAATGTCTATGGTTGGTCCGTACTCTTTGCTGTGCTACCCTATACCCTACAATGGGCGGCGTCCGCCATGTCAACACCACCTATTTTCGATGCCGTAATGGCTACTTAATTTACAATCTGGCCTTGGACACAATGTTGGCGCCCCAACGGGAGAGGGATCGGCATCAAGGCTGCTGTATGACTGATCGATCGTGATTTGGAGTGCAGCTGTCGTACTTTTGCAGGACTGCGTCTCCCGGACTTAACCCACCACTTGGCTCCTTTCTCTCTGAGTTTCATTCTAAGTTTCCTGGAACCAAAAAAGCAAAGCACGAAAACAACAAAGAAAGAAGAAAAAGTAAAAAGGTCGTTCCAAGTTCCAGACGAACCCACCGCTTGTTGGTATATTCCATGGAAAGGTCGTAGCAGTGCCAGCCGGAGTGTGCGGGTGCTCCTAGCTTCTATCGCGTCACCTCTCATGCCCTGCAGATATTGCAGAGAGTCGCACAGGATCTAGAAATCCAGAGTAACCCTGGACTGCTCGCTATAAGTATCCGTGTTGGCCCGGAGACCCCGACGGATCCCTGTTCGTGTCGACTTCACATCTCTGCCATTACGTCCTGCCGTTCAAGATTCTTTCTACTCCTCTCTATAGAACCCAAACATGGCCACTAGAGAATTCCAATATGATCCCACGAAGTAATCTCTACCCCCGCACTATTGAATCCACCTCCGCGTTATCCACTCGCTCAAGAGACTAACTGACAAACTACCCCAGACACGCTCCCCCCAAACTGACCCAAATCTTCCACCACCCCGTCGATAACTGCCCAGGCAAATGCATCATCGGGATCATTGCGGAGCTTGGCCCCGGCACCGCACTGCCACCCCATCGCCACGGCGGGGCGACGGTGTCCGGCTACATCCTCGAGGGAACGATCTACAACAAGATGAACGATGAGCCCCAGGAGACCATCAGCAAGGGCGGGCAGTGGTTTGAGAGGCCGGGATGCCATCATAGAATTAACGCCAATGCTAGTGACACCGAGCCGGCTAAGTTCTTCGCGACGTTCGTGATTGACGAGGAGGCGGTGAAGCAGGGACGGTTGATGGAGATAGATGATGAATATCAGCATGTTAAATGCGCGGTGGAGCAGTCGCCTGGGATGAGGGGTGAATGTAAATGTAAGAGCTGATTGTGGTTCTAACGTGGATGCTGGATCTATAATTCTTATATATGAACTACTTAAGGAATGTATGTATGATGGGAAAGTTGAATATTATGAGAACACCTCGTCTAGTGTAACTTATGGAAGGCAGAGCACTACAGGATAGCAATATTCAGTGCTATATACGCCTCGCCACGGCATGGGTTTGGGTCTGACTCGTGGAATGTATCTATCTGTAGGCCGAGTATGTATTGCAGATGGGAAAGCTCTAATAGATGAGCCAAAGGACCTGGAGTGTTGAACAAGCATATCTCTTAATCAATAACGTATTATATTTGTCATAACCCTCTGTTCCATGGAAGGCTTCGTATTATTTTTCAATACTATACGGTCACACCACCCATAATCCAGATCCCGATAACCGACGATGATACAATCCACGAGTCCGTCCCACCGGTTTATACAGCCTATGAAGAAATAGCGAACTTTTCTGACTCTTCCAGCCTACAGAAACTCGCTATTTATGATACGGGTTGCTCAAGATCTTGTCCTCGGGAAAGGTCAAAGGCCAGGACCATCCCACTACGCGATATCACTACTGAGTACACCAGTATAGAGGCTGAGAGTCGCCTTGACAACTAGTTTCAGTACCAGTGCCACATCGCCGGACAGTCCTTCTTTCTTTATTTCATAAGTATGTAGAATAAATACAAGGAACGCTACCTCCACCCACCGACAACCAGACGAACCTTAAACAGGCCCAGACAGCGTTACAGTCGTCTTGTTACATGCGGCAGACAATGGGACATTCTCGAACCGGTCCCGTATCCAAGGCAAGTACTGCGCCTGGCCTGCAATGAAGGCAAAGTCGTGATTAAGGTCGGGATAAATATACAGGTGCATGATGCTACTAGGGAATGTGCTGCACGTCTGATCGTAATCCCACTCTGTCAAGTTTGCATACACCAACTCATCAGCAGTCCCCTGAAGGACCAGCATGGGGGCTGCCAATTCGTGTGAGCCGGCGCCATTGTACCTCTTTTGCCACTCAATGACATCCGGATGGTGAATCCAGCTGGTATTCTTGTAGAGCTCTTGCAATGTGAGGTTCCCATAGATCGCCGATCCAGTTTGCAAACATCCTTGCTGCGCGATTGGGATACGGCTTGCAACGATATCGCTGACGTAGTTCTCAACCTTGACGGAAGGGAATAATCGCGAGATGGACTGCAGGACAAAGATGGAAACAACGTCATGAACAGGGCCATCCTTAGCGAGGCGCCACGATTGTGGGATAAGAGAAAGTGGGCGCAGCGCTGGGGCTCCTGAAACGGCGCCCAGGAAACCACCTGTTGCGTTTCGCTTTTCGCGTTCATTAACTCGCCATGCGGTCATGCCGCCCTCGCTGTGACCAACCACTACCCATTCATGCGTGATCCGATCCTGGAGCTTCGATCTCACGGCTTGCAGGGCAAAGCTCACGTCGAGGGCGTGTAGCGCACCGGATTCATACATGAACCCCATGGGTATATCACTACCCTGACCCGCATAGTCGGGCGCAATGACCGCATATCCTTGCTGGACCAATGCAAATGGGCCTTCCCATTCGTAGTACAGTTCCTTGTGATTAGAGGGTGCGCATTGTCGGGTAATGCCCGCCGTTCCATGCGTCCAGACAACCGTTCGGAGTGGCTTTCCGCTGCCATCCTGGTTTGTAAAGGGGAGTAACAGAAATGCACTGGCCGGTATGGGTTTGCCGTCGATGTCCTCACTCATGTAGAGGAATCTGGACAGTGTCGTTGCCGGAGGGGTATCATAGCCAACTGTCGTGTACTCCTGGCTAGGTACGTCTTCCCATCTGATGATGTCGCCGGCGGCGTAATCAGAGATGTTTGCTGGATTCGCGTAGAAGGGATCGGTTGATACATTAGGGCTGACCCAGGCCGCCTTTTCCTGTTCGAGAGCTTGCGCGATACTCGCTTGGCAAGTAGCATTGCAATTGTCGGGAAAGCTGTAGGTCGGAGCCACGGTGGTTGAACCAACAATAGATATTAAGGAGACCATTATGGCCGAAAGGGATATGGAAGGCATTTTCCAGCCTACAGGGCTCACTAGAGGGCCCAATAATGCTCGATATTTCGGCGCTAGCTCGTAAATTCTCATGTAAATCGTGAGTGTTCCTACTCATCTTATGGTAGGGTTTACAAGATGACCATTATTTATACATCAATTGGTGCTCGCCTTGAACCATCTCAATCAAAGAATTCATTCCCGACTTTACATGCCGTCGTAAGTTTGTGTGCCATTCAGCGGAGGGATCGGAGCAATGCATCAAGGCAACGAATAATATTTGAGAATCTACCAGGAGGATCATCGAGCTAGTTTCGGCTGGAGCGTCGACCTTCCTCTTGTGGAAATCAATAAACCAGGCAAATTGACTATAAGCGGCACCTCGACGCTTCCCCCGAATCTCAGTCATTTACCTTTGGTACACCAACTGGCAGATTGTAATTCATTTGGCGTCAAGTAGTAACAGTTGAGCCGTTTATTCTGCCGACTTTAGTCCTTCTGCCGCGGGATACAAGTTTCTGGCACTGTACCGAGCTTCCGGAGGAAAAGGCTATAGCTTGATAAATGCCCTCCCTAGCCAGTGACACTAAAACTAACCTAGGGCCGATGGGGCTTAGTTGGATCCTCTATCTATGGTTGTTCTAGTCGCGTTCCTTTCTAGCTGAGGTGAGATTAGGGCGTACCCAAATATGCGTGATTCTGGGGCACCTTTCGACTCTACTGAAGCTGGAAGCAGAGGAGAATTGCGTAGGGGACTATGGTTTGATTTTCCTGTACAAATCCACGACCAAGCCCTCGTCCCTCCACACATCTCATATTAATAGTAAGACACCAGTATTGCTATACCGGAAATCTGATCTTCTTTGGGCCTTACCCGATTTTGACTATATCAGATATTCGGCTTCCTCGAGCAATGTTAGGCCGTGCTAGTGGGCGTTTCGCCTCCGAGCATTCTTTTGTTCTAATTTCAAGTGCCCCAAGATATTGTGGATCTCTGCTGCTTCTACTTTGTCGTGAACATGGTACTGATTGCGCAAGTTACTGGATGGAACTGCTAACCTATATGGTAGAGTTGTGGATGAGATTGGTCTTTTTAACGAGGACAGCTTGGAAGAAGTGTACAGACCATTTTTTGTTGCTGTAAACTATGGCGGCTCAGATATATTAACAGGCGACGTATTCCAATCAAATAAATATTCTAAATTGAAGTGTTCATACACAACGATTGACTACGAGTAGTACTAGTCGAGAATATATGTTTTCTAGCATTATGAGGCTTAGTGATACTGTTAATCCTATTTAACTCCTACCACATATTTGGAAAATATTAATGGAGTGCTGAATAGAGGAAGAATACCTTAGACTTTATAAGGAGAATTACGGTTCAAGTATTATAGCTTTGCTATATCATTCTGCTCCTACTAAAGTCTCTTAGACGATTTAACTTGGTGCAATATGATTGTATCTACTCCACGTGGCTTACTGTGTTATATGGCAAATGCATATTGTATCAGACTCACATAGCGCTTGGAGGGTCGTTGATATACGTGTTAAGAAGATGTTGAGCGAGAGATCCCGAAGTAGTATGGCTTCTTAACTGCTCCGTGGCTGGGTCCAAACATTGACATTCTAAATGATAACAAAGTCCAAGTCTAACAGGCAGCACCATAACCAGTTTCATTAACTCTAACAGGCATGGGATATGGCATGAACATGCCATCCACAGAAGGTCAAACATCATGATAAACCAGGTACCAGCTGAGTAGCGTGCATATATCCTGCAAGCGAGGAGAATCAGTATAATAATGGCTGTGTTATAAGCAACCCTTGAATGTCGAAGCTGAAAATTTCCGAGGTTTCTCCCCTGGTAGTGGGTCTAGAAGACCAACGTCGCAACCAAGCTCTAGTCGATCAAGTGGATCATTGGGCCCTTTTTCTCCCTCCTGGTTCAGCCATATGTGGACCGTGGTTGTATTAGAGTGAATCCTTTTAGCATCCAAGACCCTTTCCTGCTTACTGTGTATGTGCGCGCTAATGATCCGTGTTCCTTTTACCTTGAATACTTTCGACATCGACAGGTGCTCTAGGATGGTCAAGAAGACCGTGTTGAACACTAGACAAATTACTGTCAAAGTACGACCGCACTGGCGCTGTTAGGTAGTATCAACAGTTGATACTGTAGGGTTGAAGGCGAGGACATTCTCGACCTGAACAAATTTCCCGAAACTGGCCGTTGTGTAAAAGCGTCCACTAGGCAAACTAGACCCATTGAAATATATTAACATGTCTCCTATTATTCGTTTATCCTCACCTATATGTTGATCTTTCTGTGTTTGCCTCCTCTTTGGAAAAGCTAACTTACTTCCTCGGAGCATTCCGACCAACAAAAGTATAGTATGCACTGGAGCGTATATTTCCCGCCCTGCTTAATCGCGTTGCCATTGTGCTTGATGTACACTATGTGGGTAGGCACAACATAGGCCATAGTCCTATTTCTTGGAGGCCTTTCTTCAACAGTTGCATTGCTCTCCTTCGTCCTCGGCATTTAACACCAGAATCCTCGAGGAATGGACCCATTTGCTAGAACACTAGCCATTGAAACATGGACTCTATATCTCTTTGGTATTGTCCAATCTCTATTCCTGTCTCACCGGCTAACCAAATTTAAACGACAGGCGTTATTCTCATTGCGTGTCGCATGTAAGTGTAGCATTCGTTTACCGGGTACATCGGTCGTGACAAGGCAAAGGGCCTCGAGGCGCATAGCCCGGAAATCATGGAAGAAATTGCAAACGGATGACTATCTGATGCTGGTCATTCTGGTAGGTTCATCCACATCAACAGCGTATGCTATAGACTCAACGCGATAATAACCGATGAGTTGGGGAGTATCAGATTACCTTTACCGGAGTCGTTGTCTCCGTGAACGAGACCGCACAACATGGGAGTAACTATATACCTCTGGAGAAGGCACTGTCCCTTACAGAGGAAGAGCGCGAGGATGCCATCTACGGGAGCAAGATGACCTTCATATTGGAACATTTCACATTGGTCTCTCTGTGGCTAGTCAAGGCCTGCTTACTGATCATTTATAATCGCCTGACGTATGTCTTCCGCCCGGTGAATACAATAACTCTGTTCATTATTGATATCGATCTGCAGGTTGGGATTGAGAGAACACCTAGCAGTGAAGGTACTTGCTGTTTACGTTGCAGCGTCCTTCGTTATAGTCGAGATTCTCTTCTGTACTGTTTGGTGTGGCCCGCCTATCACCATGTATTGTACGTCGACTTTCCCTATGTGCATACCGATCCGTTGACTAACCCCTGATTCAATATAGGGGATGTCCCGACCAAGGACCGTAAGTATACCCGTATAATTCGTGAGCGGTTCAATCCTGTCGCTAATCCACTCTAAGCGCAATGTGCTACCTACTATGACCACTTGATCACAACGAGTGCGTTCAACATCTCATCGGACTTGATGATGTTGTGTATTCCAATACCGCTTGTCCTGCGTTCGCGAATCCCGCTCAAACGGCAAGAGAGTCTCGACCTATCCTTGAGTCTAACTATTGACATAGTATAGGAAACTAATTCTTTGCGCTGTGTTTAGTCTGGGGTTGGTAGTGGTATGAGCGAGAATTAGAAAACGATTTAGTGAGCGGTTACAGCTTACACCAGCACAGATCCTCATGGCAATCCTCAATCGATATGTTAACTTCACGGAAGAATATACCGCGAACTTCTTGGTACGCGCCAGCCACCGGTTTCCCACCGATAACACCTGAGATTGGGACCTGTCCCAACTAACCTTGACAGCGATGGTACGTCGCCGAAGTCGCCACGGCCGTCTACGTGGCCAATGTGCCGCTGCTATGGCCGCTTCTTCGAGAGCTCTTCAGCCTGAGCTCCTTCGCAAACTCGTACGGCAGACAAGGCGTATCATTCCCCAGCGGTCATCGCACAACGAACACGCATCACTCGCGGTTACGGTCACGATTGAGCCACATGGACGAATCCATGGAGTCTATCGTGCAGCATTCACAACCCGAGCATGAAAAAGGAGGATTCAGGTCCCTCGACAGGGGCCTAGAGTTATCGCCCATTCAAGAACGGCATTATCACGCCACGGTCACAACGGAGGACGTGGAGCACCCGGTGCAGAGGCATGTTTCACATCACACTAGTCAGTCTCTGTCGGGAATTTTCCGGACGGTCGAGGTGGTGCAAACCAGGCAATAAGATCAGACTTGGCAGTCAACGTTGGTCAGTGTGTACTCCGTAGTGAACTATCGATCTTTAATACAGTCCGCAATAGGTGAATAATGATACCCCTGCCAAGGGCCCTGGCAGTAAGACATTGTTCATGCTTCTAAGCAATAGCCAAGATGATATACTGTGTAGAATGCCCGATAGGGCTAGAATTGGTCTGCGAATTACCTAGCTTCTTCACTAAGGCCATGCTCTTTAAGGCACGGACATAGTACAATCCAGGCCAATTAAACGAAGGTATATGTGAGCCTTTTAGAGGATCTCCTCTAAAAGTTAATCTACACGAGGCGACAACAATATCGGCGGAAGCCCAACGACAACTCTCCGCCTTGGCACGTCTTTAGTCAATCTTAGCCGTGACCGGCCACTTTTAGGGTGATGCCAAGAGGGCTTGTTGGACGGCCGCAAGTCTATGACAGTCGGTGGAGAGTTCTCTTCGAAACTCCCATGGGCTGGGCTGCTATTGAATATATTCTTGCCACCTTAGTAGTAATTTCAGGCTAACTGACTTAATATTTTATTATTCTTGCAGAAACCTGATGACCATCCAGCGCCCATTGAACCTCCAACGTCTCTAGTGGGTGATTGGAATATCTTGCATATGTTCCCGGGCTCATACTTCCCCTACTTGTTCTAGAACAGTGCAAGTAATATCGTGTCTATATGTAATAAGCCACGAACATTTCAAGGTGGTTTGCCGCTCTCTCCTGATTCCTTAGG